CAATTACAGTGTGTTGACGTGATGGGAGTAGAAGCTTTTGTTCCACCCAAACATGTTCGGCAAGACTGAAACTTGTTTTGCTATCAGCTTTTTTACATTACAGAAATTAGAAAAGCCCAGGCATCAGTAAAATATGTGGTAATAAACAAATAAACAAATAAACCAACTTAAAAAATGTGTGATAATCTTACTAAAGTGTATGCATTATTTAACAATAATCACATAATCAAACAATCATTTTGGTATTGAAATTAGTCTTTTCATGGAGGCTAATCTGTAATAATATATGAAATAATGTGTGTTTTATCTTTAAAAGACTTGTTGTTGTTGTTGTGATATCAGCATTCAGAACATGTGGGGGCTCTAAGTGACTTGGTCCACCCCAAACATATTACAGGCAGGAATGAAAAAGAATTAATTTTGTTTACTAAGTAAATGCTATGTTACACAGAGATAAACTAGGAACTTAAAAAGTAAAATCATCTTAAATGTAGTCCATTTTTAGTTATTATTTGTTATCATGAGATTGTTGTAATTTTATTAAGATTACTAAACCTATTTCTTGATGTTTATATCTTGTTTAATCTAGTGATACCTAGTGAAATTGTCATATATTATACTGTTTAAGGAGTGAAACAGTCCCATTAGCACTCATCATCAAACCTTTCAGGTGTGTAAACCTTTGGGCCAAACATGTTTCATTGTGTGCTTTTAACCACAATAGTCTGGAAAAGAAAATTGTCAAATCATGATTTAGTCAAAATCCTGCTCTTCATACCAAGAACACACTGTGATGAACATGAAGCCAAGTGCTGTAGATAAACCATGGATAGTTATCATTTTCATTGTAAATGTAACTGTGAGATCATTTACATTTTGATAAAAGGCAAAGTGTCTTGAAATGTGTGATGAGCACCTTTATCAGCCAGCCAAATTTATTATCTCTCTTATTTCACACTCACAAGCATAAACATGACTGCTATCTCATATAAAACTTTGTGGCTACACTGGTTTTGTGGAGGGCGTGTCTACAACAACATGAACCGCTCCCTAACTCGCACAGACATACAAATATCTGATAAATATCTCTCCCTCACTGGCTACAAATATTGTTACATGAAAGTCATTGTCAAATATAACAGTAAATAAAAGTATACATGGTCTGGGTCTAAGTCAGATCTTTTTAAAGATAAGAATGGCATTAATATCTTTCAGAAATATTATTAATAAGAAAATTACTGCTGTTCTTCATTTGTAGGAAATCAGCTTACATGACTTGGAATTTAAAAAATACATGAAGTGGTTGTAAAAACGAAAAGAAAATAATCCTGAAGAAGAATTGTGGTGTAATTGTCTGTAACCCGTTACTTTATTCCACTATGTCTTCTCACAAGCCTGTGCTAAATAACTTGGAATTCTGTCTATTGTTCCAGAGATTTAGCTAAGGGTGTGTTTTCTGTCTCTGAGTCACGCAAATATACACGCATGAATGTCGGAGACAAATAGGATGAAGTATCATATTTCACAGTCTCTGTGGTTTGGGTGTGTCCAAGACAGGTGGAATCTCTCTCTCACTCTCACTCTCTCTCTTTCTCTCTCTCTCTCTCTCTCTCTCACACACACACACACACACACGCACACACACACACACCTGTTTTTAAATTGTGCAATAATTTGTTGTCACAATACACTACTATGCAATTCCTAAAGATTTCTGGCCCCAAAAATGAATGCAGATCCTGCAATTAATGCAATTACAATAGCAACATTTAATACAATTAAGCTCAGACATAGCAAAACATTTGTAAAGTTGATTCTAAGAAGGTGGAATGTAAACTCTGCAAATGGTGTTTTATATACAGTACAACTTTAAATACGATATAAAAAAACATTTTTATTTTACCTTTATTTAACCAGGGCAATCACATTGAGATTAAAAATCTTTTTTACAAGTGAGCCGTCCCAAAAAGTAGCGTAGAACAGCCAAAAAGACAACAAAGAAACAACACCACCACAGCCAATAAAATCAAATTAAAAACAAGACCAAACAGAATGATACAATTCTTTAACAGTTATCTCAAAATCAGTCAAGGAGATAAAGTTTCTGCAGATCATTCCTCGCAGATGATTCATTGTAATTACAAGCTGTCTTGCCGTATTCAGACCATATTATCGGAACACACACACACACACACACACACACACACACACACACACACATCATCTAAACCGCTTACCCTTCTGGGTCGTGGTGGGGTGCTGAAACCTATCCCAGCTGTCATTGGGCGGAAGGCCGGATACACCCTGGACAGGTCGCCAGTCCATCGCAGGGCATACTATCGGAACGTCCAACTGAATAGAACTATTAAAACTTACATTGTCCTGAAACTTTATTTGTTGATAAGAATACAAACAAATATGAAGGAAGCTGACCAATAATCGCTTTATAGACAAAAATTATCCAATGAATTTGTCTTCGCATTGAAAGCAGAGGCTAACCAAACATTTTATAAAGTTCACAGTGATGAGTTGAATATCTAGCGCCTGTTATAAATGCAAAATTGTCTGTATGCCTATCACCATAATCCAAAACAGGTAAAAATGTAGCTACAACTAGTTTTTTTCATGCCTGTTGTGTAAAGCAAAAACCGTTCCTAAAATAAAATCCCACCTTCTTTATCAATTGTTTATTTATATATCAACATGTGTCAGTCTTTTATTTTGCACAAAAGTAGATTATCTCATTGATTCCTTTTCACTTGACTGCTTTGTCCCTGTGTTTGTTTAATTCCATATCTGTTGACAAATGCTATAGAATGGTGGGCTTATTAGGGGAATTGAAACATTTTCTGTAATTATACAAAAACAAAAGAAAATAACCCTGAAGAGCGATAGTGGTGTAATTGTCTGTAATAATAATAATAATAATAATAATGACAGTAATAATAATAATGATAAAAATAATAATCATAATAGTAATAAAAATTCTGATAACACTTTAAGAAACAAAATAATAAAGACTTGCATTGATAATTTCAATAACTAACTGGAATTAACAGCTATAGACGATGAGTACTGTTGTGGAACTAATATTAGCTGATTACTTGGCTAAAGGTGTGTTTTTTTGCTTCAGAGTTCGTCATCTATTGCTTGACAAACCAGGCGCTAGCCATTATTCTCAAATAATTTCCATTGTTACCGTCTGTCTCTTTTTGTAAACACAACCAATATAACATATACGTGGCTAAAATTGCCTAATAAAAATCTGAGTGGAGTCTAACATAACTAATGGACACTTGCTACCCAGCTTTCATATGAATAGTTATGTTAGTAGCTATCAGTTATCTGTGGTGAAGCAGGTAACATATCCAAACTTTTCCCCTCAGTTATGGAAAAGAGAAGTTTAGATTAATCCGTTTAGAGAAGAGGACCGCAGAGTTACAAAATGTTCTTCTGCATGTTTTGTGCAGTTACATATTTCCAACAGAGAGGTCGCCACTTCCCCAAATTTGCCAAACTTACAAAGTGCAGCTTTAATGATTAATGAGTATAATGTTTGATCTTCATTACAAATACATATTCATGCAATGAAAAAAAAATGTTTTAGCAGTAAGCTAAAGGATTCTCCAGGACTCGAAACAAAAACAAATGTATTATTAGACAGGTTTGTGTATGGGCTGAATGGCAGTATAAAAAGTAGTGCCCTTCAGAATGATTGGTCCCTTGGTACAGATAAGCAATAAAGGCTAGGAAAAAAATAATCCGCTTAATTTTACACAAAGTAGAAAGCAGTTTTATATTTTTATAGGCATATCCCGATTTATGAAGGTAAACATTTTGTTCCATTTCATTTGTGTACTTTCTCATCTCCATGTTGATAGAAGGCTGAAGGTGTTAAGAAAGGTAAAACATTTATATTTATGGCATTTGGCAGACACTCTTATCCAGAACGACTTACACTGTATTCATTTAGAAGGTAGTGTTAGAAGTCTTGCCCAAGGACTCTTATTGGCATAGCATAGGGTGCTTGTCCTGGTGGGGGAATGAACCTCAGTTTACAGCATAGAAGGCAGAGGCGTTACACACTACACTATACCAATCACCAAAATGTGTATGACTTCAATATATATATGATTCATTTTTTCTGTATTTCATTTTAAGGTCAAGCTGATAACATTTTTTCATGGTGTCACGCTTCCAGGTTCTCCTCCCTTGCCTAATACTCTCCAGGACTCCAATTCCCATGATTCCAATCCTGATGTCACTCCTTCCACCAGTCACCCACAGCTTCCTCGTTCTCAGTCACCTGAGTATTAATGCAATTCACCTGTGTTTGTTTGTCCCAGGCTGTAAATAGTTTCTGGTTTGTTCTCCTCATTGTGAGGTATTGCCCTTCACCGGACTACTGAGCGGTTTTCTACTGGTTTCCTGACTTGTGTATTGGACCCTTTGCCTGTTTTTTGGATATTGCGTTTTTGTGTTTGCCCTTTTGCTCTGGTCGCTTGTGCATTTTGTATCTTCTGGTTTTTTGACTTTTTGCAAGCCTTTTGGATTCTGATTTTGGTTTTGCCCTGAAACTGTCTGACCATCTTACTAATCTCTCATTAAACCACTTCCTTTTTAAGATCCGCGAGCGTCTTTCTGTGCTTGTGCAGCATTACACATGGATTCTTTTTCTCATCTTTTTCAGGGTGCTGGTAAGCACTGTATTTCCACATTCATGTTCCGTTTCAGTTCATAGATAATCCCACATAATAACACCTTTCTTTTCCAGACACAAATATTACTTAACTAATCTTGAAGAAACATTTACCATCACCTTTCAGGTTTACCCTCTTACCTAAAGGCCATGGTTACATTCCTACACACTCTGCCCTAAATAAGCATGGTTGAACATGACTAAGAACATGAAGTAACAAACATAAATGCCACTTAAAATTATTTTGAAATATTTATATTTATTGCTTAATTTAAAGAATAAATAAAAGCATAGAGTAAACATTAGGGCAGCCTATCATTGCATTGTCATTTTAGCTTCGAAAAATATATATTTTACATTCTTTCAGTTTTGAGATTAGAGAAACATATCGCTTAAAATGGAAAATGTCAATAAATGAATGAAAAATCTTCTGTTATGGTTATAAGTCAGATCTTTTTTCTCATTCTGTTTTTAAAAGAGTCCATTCCTTGTTGTGTACTGGACATTGTAGGACCTTCTTCTACTGTAGCGCCTCCTTATGGCAGCACAGCAACCACACAGCATACACTGAGAGAAACATAGAGAGAGAACAGATCAGATAATCTGATTAGTTAATGATATATTACTTAATTTTTTAATAAAAATAACATGCTCTGATTAATCAGTGAGGGTAAACTTAATGTGCAAGGTGTGCAAACTTGAAGGTGCAAAGTATACATGTATATATCTATATTTTGTATGTTATTAATAGTGTACTCACAGTACATTTCTTAGTCAAGTAGGTTTTAAAAAGGTTTGGCTTTACTTACACCGAGTGTAATCCAGGTCGGTATGAGAATGATGGCTATACTGCAGGGAATAATGATGGCCAGGGCCCAACCTGGAAATCCTCCAGTGCTGTTTCCAGGGATAGTGGTGTTTGGGACAGTGGGCTGAGCAGTCGTGGAAGCTAAGCCACTAACTTTGAGTATTTCAGCAAGAAATCCACTTGGTGCCTGGATATCCCCCTCCACAAAAACATATTCTGAAACTGCCTGAATCACGGTATCATTACCCCTACAAAGAACAAACAAATTGAAGTGAATATTTATATATTTAATAAACCTAATAAATTTTAATTGATGCACAAAAGCAAAGAAAGAGTCTGGCTGAAGAAGAATGCAGTTCAGAGTTTAGGCTTGACGTCACCGCTTACGTGTAGTTTGCCCGTGGAAAGTTAAATGGGGTAGAACTTTTTCCATTCAAGATTTTGTTGAGCTGAAAATGTATGTAAAAATTAAATACATAATTACAACACATTGAAACAAATTATGAACTGGAAGAAAGTTAATTCCTAAGTTTTTAATAGGCCCTTTTCACATTTCCACATTTTTTTTCTGCTGGAAGTAGTCATTGCAGGGTAACGCTGCTCCAAATAACATTTACAACAGCAACAATGAAGAAGCTTTCTCAAGTTTTAGAGCTTGAAACAAAAACAGCCTTATCTCAGTTTCAATGGTTTGTCAGCTGACAATGAGCAGAGGAAAACGAGTTTGTGCAATTAATAAAGGAAAAAACTTTGTTATGCGGAGTAAAAGAACCTCTGTCTGCATTTCACTGCTGCTGTTTCACTGATGAGTAATGTTACACTGAATGCAATTCATGCTTTAAAGTTGGTGCTACAGCTGTTTTTCAGAGGAGCAGTTTATTTTCCCCCTCAAAAATGACCAGCAACTGAGAGAGCGAGTGCTCGGCGGAGAGTAGATGTTCGTTCACTGCTGCCGGTGGTTCCACCTTAATTGGTGCCTGAACTGACAGAATGTAACTGCTGGACAATTTAAGGTGGAACGGAAAAATTCGAACAAGAAGCTTCTTCAGCCTTGTGACATTTTTCGTGTTTGACAGTTTGCTGCAGATTAAACATCTCAGAAAACCAGCTGAGTGCTTATAAATGCAAATAGGAAGGTGTCTACAATGGCGCTATGGACCCTGATGACCTGCTACACCCCCCTGACGGGATGTGCGCGTGTTTAGCTTTTTGCCACTAAAACAGTTAGTTTCCGACCACGCAAGCGGGTTGGTTGAGAAGCGTTCTAACCGTGCTGTTATTTTGGCGTAATATCAGGTTTTTTTTTTTTTTTTTTTGACAAACACTGTATCACTCCGCTGAGACGCCGTCGCTAAGCATCGACTTTGACGGCTGTGGGAGACAAACTCAAGCCATTTGAACGTTTTACTTCTTACTTTGCTCACAAACAGAAAATGGACATTTTTAAGATTACATTTGACCTACAGCCGATTTGGTCAGACTCTGAGGATGAGACTACACTAAATTCCAAAACTGTCATTACCACTAAGCAAGCTTTTCAGTCGGCAGCTGTGACAGAAGAACACCTAAACAACCTCGAATTAGCCAGAAATGAACCCAATACCATTTGCCAAACATGTAGTCTCATCTTCAGAGTCTGACCCAATCGGTCTGAGCCATAAAACTGCCGCAATATCAAGTGTAGCTCAGTTGTGTCAATTTTTGCTAGATCGATATTGATGTTGTTTTGTTCCAGCCAGTCTGTAAAGCATCTTACAGCACATTTTGTTTGGCGAATGGTATTCGGTTCATTTCTGGCCACTTTCAGGTTGTTTAGGTGTTCTTCTGTCACAGCTGCCGACTGAAAAGCTTGCTCAGTGGTAATGACAGTTTCAGAATTTAGTGTAAGGAGCTGGGGAATGAACTGCCAGCTGTGCAGCGAGATAGCGGAGCTCGTTACTCTGACGTAGCAACAATCTGCTTGTTAAGGAACTATAATTTGGCGGAAGGAATTGTTAACATTAAAACATATCAAATGCCACGTTCACGGCCCAATTTATTTATTTTTTTTCTTTATTTATTTAACTGTTGTATTAAAGCAATAAAACACTCGAGGTCGTGTGTTATGGCGAATAACATCACGGCTGTGATGATCTACGCCGAACGAATCACAGCCGTGATGTTATTTCGCTATAACACACTCCCTCTCGTGTTCTATTGCTTAATTAACTAGTTTATTGTTAGCAAGCTGTTTCAACATCTCCAGTTAAGATGGCTTATGTAGCACTTTGGTTATAGTTATTGTCACTTATCCATCTATTTATCACTCTATAGATGACGTTATTTTACCGTGATATTGTACCTTGATTTTTTCACGAATCACGAATATGCTTTATTTAGTTTGGACTCCCGATTGGACTCTCTGTTGTTGTGTCTTTGGTGTTCTCTAACAATTCTGGAAACATCCTCGAATTTCAGTCTTGGCAACTATGACAAAGATAAAGTGACGCACCTTTCTGTGGTGAGCTGAAGTGATGAACACCTATATTTCTGAGGATCATAACTGTCCGAAAGGCAATAGCGGAACTTGTTTTACCCAACGTTTACCCTCTTCCATTTCTTGTGAAAAGGGTCTATTTGAGAAAGCTAGGCTGTGACTGTCTCACACTCACCAACATGTTGACGGTGTTTTGAATGGAATCGTATGTTTCATTTCGGAGTTGAAGGTTTGAGGAAATGTTCACATAGCTGATTTTGAATCCAAAGGTAATAGTATATGAGTTGTTACCCGTTTCTAAAAGGGAAATGATGGGGTTAAAAATGCTGAACATACACTGGTTGTAGTACTGTTGGCTAACAAGTATATATAACAGGACTTCAACAAAAATACACAAAGCATATAAAACATTTTGGAACATCTACATTTTAAATTAACCACAAAAGGGAGACTAATCAGGAAAAGAAACTCACTCTGATAAGTGACATTCTGGATGCTCACTGGGTTATTCAGTTTTTGCATTCTGACATCTCGCTTCATTCTAACACTTGCATCCAGCAGAGTGCTGGCAGCATTAAGAACTTCTGCCTCACTGGGTAGAGAGGTCAGGTTCTTAAACACCAGGCGGATGTAAATCAGTACAGTGCCCATTCTGAAACAAGAAAGAATGTAAGAGTTTTTAATTACATGCAGAATGAGATGTGATGTACAGTGAGACAGTGTTCTAGTAAAGTTGTGTCAAGCCCATGATAATTATCTTAGAATTACATGACAACTATAATAGCATTTTAATGAAATAAGAATTTATGTGCAATACATAAAAACAAACAGCACTTCATTCATTTAAGTAGTTTTAGCTGCTTTGCTTACTGTAATTGCTACCTCTGGGGTATGTGATCACTAAACATTACACAGCTTTTCATTGCTATGATGGTACACAATTATAAATTTCCATTCCTCTGAAAGTCAAGATTCTGTTGACAAGGTAGGAAATTGTGTCAGAAATGTCTTCATGGATGTTACAAAATTGTCTGCAGCATAATCAGGACAAAACAGAGATACTGATACTGATACTTAATTACTGGTACTGACTCTCAAAGAAAGCCGATTTGTGAGATTAAGCCCTTAATTTTGCATTGTGTGTAAAATCTGATGTACAAAACCTGGGTCTAATGTTAGATTATGGTTACATTCTACCACGTAAGTAATATCGCTGGCTAGACTGTTCTATCTCACAGAAAACAAGCAGAACAAGGTCTATTTATTTGTTACAAGCAGAATTTATAACTGTCATGTTCTTTTTACAAGGCTTCCAAAAATACATTTTGTATTTTGTACAACTTGTACAAAGTCGTTACCTTTCACAGTTAGGCTGTCAACTTTGGTGCACATGTTTAAAAACATTTGAAAGTTTTAGCTTCTAATTAATAAACTACCATAATTCATTTTTTTATTGTATCTAATTTTATTTTGAAGACCATGTTATTTTTATTTAATCTTTAATTATATTGTTTGTTCTATTTCATTCATTCATATTTTGCTCTTGTACACTTTAATTTATTAACTGAGGTATTTCTAAAACACTTTGAAGATGATGTGTTTAAAAAGTGCTCTATAAATAAACCACAATATTATTATTATTATTATTATTATTATTATTTAAAAAACAGAATTAAACAAATATTGAACTTACAGTGTTGAAGATGTCATTGTCTGTAAGGTTGGAGTTCGAGTTGTGCTTATGTTGGGAGTTTTCGTTGTTGTCAGAACTATAAAATCATTGTTTGGAATTGTTAACAAACATGTACCACAATGACACATGAGGCAGAGTAAATAAATAATAATGAAAAAACGATAATGATAGAAAGTAATATACCATATGCATTCGACAGGAGCCTCAGGAAGCTAGTTGGTTTGTTAATATCATCCTCCTGAAAACTGTAAACCATGTCTCCAAGAATCTGATTTGATGTGCTCCTGAAAAATCAAGACATTGGGATTTAGATATTTACATTTCAGTGTCATTTGGAAAAAAAAAAACATTCTTTTGAATAAGCTTAAATGAGTAATTTAGATACATACGTGAAATTTGCAATTTGAGGATTAAAAGGATCATTGCCTGGATCAGTCAGGATTGTGTTAAGCTGAAGGGAAAAAAATTATATGCAGGAAACTACTGAAAGGCTTAATAGATATGAAAAAATATGGTAAAGCTTGAACAAACGTACTGCTATGTTGACTGAGTTTTGCACTTGGATGTAAGTGTTGTTCCTGAGGTCCATGCTCTCTGGCATGCTGATATTACTAAGGCTGAATATGAAGATGACCACAAAGGAGGTGTCTGTTTTTTCTGTGGAATATCAGAGGTGTATGAATTTGGTGGATAAAACTAAAAATTTAAAAGGAATAGGAAAATGTTATGCACAACTGTAAAAGGATAATTCAGTGAGAAAGAAAACATACTCTCATATGTGATGTTCAACACTTTGGTAGAATCACTGAGGTTTGTGAGTCGAGAGCTGAGCAGAGTTCTGGCGGCATGGAGGACCAAACTCTCACTGGGAACCGGAGAGGAAGAGTTGAACACCAGCTTGCTGTTCACCACTGCTGAACCAGACCTGAAGGAACAAAACATTATGTTGGTCATTTGTGAAGGAAGATCTTGCACACTTTAATATCTGTTCATTAAACAAATTAAGAAAAAAAACTTACATTTTGGAGGAAATTGTGGGAGAGGTCAACAGCAGATTGGTTGTAGTTGCTGGAGAAACTGTTGTAGACACAGCTAAGACATAAGAAGAGGTGGTGGTAGGTTAAGTTCATGGCATTTGGGATGAATGAAGATATCAAGACCAGACATTAAAACGATACTGTTCTTTAACTTACCACTTTGCATTTTTAGTTCACTGAGGAAACTGACTGGTTGTTTTGTATCTCCCTCTTGGAAGCTGTACTCCATGCTGCCTTCAACCTGGTTTGCTGAAGTTCTATCAATGGAATTAAAAAAAGAAAGTTGATATTTAAATTATTCATTACATTATAAGAATTACACACAAAGGAATTTGGAATGGCAATGAATGTCTGTCAGCTTACGTGAAAACTGAGCTCTTGGGTTCAAATGGCTCTGCATTACGGTCATTCAGGAGTGTGTTTAGCTGAAGAGAGAAACAAAGATTTTCTTTCATAAATAGAAATAATATCACGGCTCATTGTGTCCATATGTTGTCAAAAATTTTCAAATGCTAGACAAACTAGTCTTCAATAGGCTAATCAAAACTGAAAGAGAGCTTAACAAATTGTAAAAGGATACACAAGTCAATAGCTATACAGACACCAACTTGTAATATAAAATATAATTTCATGATTAGTTCCAAAATGTCCCAGCTGAATACATGCTATGTTGCGTTTTGTAAAGAAGTCAAAGAAGTTAAAGAGATAGAATAATACAAGTAATTTGAGCTGAAGGAATATAATATGACTTTTAAGCACTAATTCAATGGTCCAGTCACCTGTCAACCCTGCTGTTAGAAACCTAAATCGACATGAAAGGATTGAGAGTAAGCTGATGATTTGAATCTAGACAGAAAGTGTTGAGATAACAATAAATAGTAGAGTGCAGGGGTCTCTTTGCAGGGGCTCTATGATTCACTGCTATAGGACAAGGGGAAATGTAGACTCACTGCTTTATTGATGGAATTCTGCACTTGGACGTAGGTGTTGTTTCTGAGGTCAGCGCTCTCTGGCATGCTGATATTACTAAGGCTGAATGTGAACAGGAGCGCATAGGAGGTGTCTGTTTTTTCTGTGGAATAAATCAAATGTTTTTATGTTTGCTCATGAAACACCACATTTAAATATATTAGAACAGTGATGTAGACATCTTTAAAACTAAAATTCAATTAGAAAGGAAATCATACTCTCATATGTGATGTTCAACACTTTGGTAGAATCACTGAGGTTTGTGAGTCGAGAGCTGAGCAGAGTTCTGGCGGCATGGAGGACCAAACTCTCACTGGGAACCGGAGAGGAAGAGTTGAACACCAGCTTGCTGTTCACCACTGCTGAACCAGACCTGAAGGAACAAAACATTATGTTGGTCATTTGTGAAGGAAGATCTTGCACACTTTAATATCTGTTCATTAAACAAATTAAGAAAAAAAACTTACATTTTGGAGGAAATTGTGGGAGAGGTCAACAGCAGATTGGTTGTAGTTGCTGGAGAAACTGTTGTAGACACAGCTAAGACATAAGAAGAGGTGGTGGTAGGTTAAGTTCATGGCACTTGGGATGAATGAAGATATCAAGACCAGACATTGAAACGATACTGTTCTTTAACTTACCACTTTGCATTTTTAGTTCACTGAGGAAACTGACTGGTTGTTTTGTATCTCCCTCTTGGAAGCTGTACTCCATGCTGCCTTCAACCTGGTTTGCTGAAGTTCTATCAATGGAATTAAAAAAAGAAAGTTGATATTTAAATTATTCATTACATTATAAGAATTACACACAAAGGAATTTGGAATGGCAATGAATGTCTGTCAGCTTACGTGAAAACTGAGCTCTTGGGTTCAAATGGCTCTGCATTACGGTCATTCAGGAGTGTGTTTAGCTGAAGAGAGAAACAAAGATTTTCTTTCATAAATAGAAATAATATCACGGCTCATTGTGTCCATATGTTGTCAAAAATTTTCAAATGCTAGACAAACTAGTCTTCAATAGGCTAATCAAAACTGAAAGAGAGCTTAACAAATTGTAAAAGGATACACAAGTCAATAGCTATACAGACACCAACTTGTAATATAAAATATAATTTCATGATTAGTTCCAAAATGTCCCAGCTGAATACATGCTATGTTGCGTTTTGTAAAGAAGTCAAAGAAGTTAAAGAGATAGAATAATACAAGTAATTTGAGCTGAAGGAATATAATATGACTTTTAAGCACTAATTCAATGGTCCAGTCACCTGTCAACCCTGCTGTTAGAAACCTAAATCGACATGAAAGGATTGAGAGTAAGCTGATGATTTGAATCTAGACAGAAAGTGTTGAGATAACAATAAATAGTAGAGTGCAGGGGTCTCTTTGCAGGGGCTCTATGATTCACTGCTATAGGACAAGGGGAAATGTAGACTCACTGCTTTATTGATGGAATTCTGCACTTGGACGTAGGTGTTGTTTCTGAGGTCAGCGCTCTCTGGCATGCTGATATTACTAAGGCTGAATGTGAACAGGAGCGCATAGGAGGTGTCTGTTTTTTCTGTGGAATAAATCAAATGTTTTTATGTTTGCTCATGAAACACCACATTTAAATATATTAGAACAATGATGTAGACATCTTTAAAACTAAAATTCAATTAGAAAGGAAATCATACTCTCATATGTGATGTTCAACACTTTGGTAGAATCACTGAGGTTTGTGAGTCGAGAGCTGAGCAGAGTTCTGGCGGCATGGAGGACCAAACTCTCACTGGGAACCGGAGAGGAAGAGTTGAACACCAGCTTGCTGTTCACCACTGCTGAACCAGATCTGAAGGAACAAAACATTATGTTGGTCATTTGTGAAGGAAGATCTTGCACACTTTAATATCTGTTCATTAAACAATTGAAGAAAAAAACATACATTTTGGAGGAAATTGTGGGAGAGGTCAACATCAGATTGGTTGTAGTTGCTGGAGAAACTGTTGTAGACACAGCTAAGACATAAGAAGAGGTGGTGATAAGTTAAGTTCATGGCACTTGGTATGAATGAAGATATCAAGACCAGACATTGAAACGATACTGTTCTTTAACTTACCACTTTGCATTTTTAGTTCACTGAGGAAACTGACTGGTTGTTTTGTATCTCCCTCTTGGAAGCTGTACTCCATGCTGCCTTCAACCTGGTTTGCTGAAGTTCTATCAATGGAATTAAAAAAAGAAAGTTGATATTTAAATTATTCATTACATTATAAGAATTACACACAAAGGAATTTGGAATGGCAATGAATGTCTGTCAGCTTACGTGAAAACTGAGCTCTTGGGTTCAAATGGCTCTGCATTACGGTCATTCAGGAGTGTGTTTAGCTGAAGAGAGAAACAAAGATTTTCTTTCATAAATAGAAATAATATCACGGCTCATTGTGTCCATATGTTGTCAAAAATTTTCAAATGCTAGACAAACTAGTCTTCAATAGGCTAATCAAAACTGAAAGAGAGCTTAACAAATTGTAAAAGGATACACAAGTCAATAGCTATACAGACACCAACTTGTAATATAAAATATAATTTCATGATTAGTTCCAAAATGTCCCAGCTGAATACATGCTATGTTGCGTTTTGTAAAGAAGTCAAAGAAGTTAAAGAGATAGAATAATACAAGTAATTTGAGCTGAAGGAATATAATATGACTTTTAAGCACTAATTCAATGGTCCAGTCACCTGTCAACCCTGCTGTTAGAAACCTAAATCGACATGAAAGGATTGAGAGTAAGCTGATGATTTGAATCTAGACAGAAAGTGTTGAGATAACAATAAATAGTAGAGTGCAGGGGTCTCTTTGCAGGGGCTCTATGATTCACTGCTATAGGACAAGGGGAAATGTAGACTCACTGCTTTATTGATGGAATTCTGCACTTGGACGTAGGTGTTGTTCCTGAGGTCAGCGCTCTCTGGCATGCTGATATTACTAAGGCTGAATGTGAACAGGAGCGCATAGGAGATGTCTGTTTTTTCTGTGGAATAAATCAAATGTTTTTATGTTTGCTCATGAAACACCACATTTAAATATATTAGAACAATGATGTAGACATCTTTAAAACTAAAATTCAATTAGAAAGGAAATCATACTCTCATATGTGATGTTCAACACTTTGGTAGAATCACTGAGGTTTGTGAGTCGAGAGCTGAGCAGAGTTCTGGCGGCATGGAGGACCAAACTCTCACTGGGAACCGGAGAGGAAGAGTTGAACACCAGCTTGCTGTTCACCACTGCTGAACCAGACCTGAAGGAACAAAACATTATGTTGGTCATTTGTGAAGGAAGATCTTGCACACTTTAATATCTGTTCATTAAACAATTGAAGAAAAAAACATACATTTTGGAGGAAATTGTGGGAGAGGTCAACATCAGATTGGTTGTAGTTGCTGGAGAAACTGTTGTAGACACAGCTAAGACATAAGAAGAGGTGGTGGTAGGTTAAGTTCATGGCACTTGGGATGAATGAAGATATCAAGACCAGACATTGAAACGATACTGTTCTTTAACTTACCACTTTGCATTTTTAGTTCATTGAGGAAACTGACTGGTTGTTTTGTATCTCCCTCTTGGAAGCTGTACTCCATGCTGCCTTCAACCTGGTTTGCTGAAGTTCTATCAATGGAATTAAAAAAAGAAAGTTGATATTTAAATTATTCATTACATTATAACAATTACACAAAGAAATGTGGAATGACAATGAATGTCTGTCAGCTTACGTGAAGACAGAGCTCTTGGGTTCAAATGGCTCTGCATTACGGTCATTCAGAAGTGTGTTTAGCTGAAGAGAGAAACAAAGATTTTCTTTCATAAATAGAAATAATATCACGGCTCTTTGTGTCCATATTTATTCAAACATTTTGAAGTGCTAGACAACCTAGTCTTCAGTAGGCTAATCAAAACTGAAAGAGGCTTAACAAATGTAAAAGGATACACAGTCAATAGCTATACAGACACCAACTTGTAATACTAATTTCATGATTAGTTCAAAATGTCCCAGCTGAATACATGCTATGTTGCGTTTCTGAAATGAAGTCACAGAGTTTGAAAGAGATAGAATAATACAATTAATTGGAGCTGAAGGAATAAGTATGACATTTTAAGCACTAATTCAATGGTCCAGTCACCTGTCGACCCTGCTGTTAGAAACCTGAATCGACATGACACGGACTGAGAGTAAGCTGATGATTTGAATCTAGACAGAAAGTGTTGAGATAACAATAAATAGTAGAGTGCAGGGGTCTCTTTGCAGGGGCTCTATGATTCACTGCTGTAGGACAAGGGGAAATGTAGACTCACTGCTTTATTGATGGAATTCTGCACTTGGACGTAGGTGTTGTTCCTGAGGTCAGCGCTCTCTGGCATGCTGATATTACTAAGGCTGAATGTGAACAGGAGCGCATAGGAGATGTCTGTTTTTTCTGTGGAATAAATCAAATGTTTTTATGTTTGCTCATGAAACACCACATTTAAATATATTAGAACAATGATGTAGACATCTTTAAAACTAAAATTCAATTAGAAAGGAAATCATACTCTCATATGTGATGTTCAACACTTTGGTAGAATCACTGAGGTTTGTGAGTCGAGAGCTGAGCAGAGTTCTGGCGGCATGGAGGACCAAACTCTCACTGGGAACCGGAGAGGAAGAGTTGAACACCAGCTTGCTGTTCACCACTGCTGAACCAGACCTGAAGGAACAAAACATTATGTTGGTCATTTGTGAAGGAAGATCTTGCACACTTTAATATCTGTTCATTAAACAAATTAAGAAAAAAAACTTACATTTTGGAGGAAATTGTGGGAGAGGTCAACAGCAGATTGGTTGAAGTTGCTGGAGAAACTGTTGTAGACACAGCTAAGACATAAGAAGAGGTGGTGGTAAGTTAAGTTCATGGCACTTGGTATGAATGAAGATATCAAGACCAGACATTGAAACGATACTGTTCTTTAACTTACCACTTTGCATTTTTAGTTCATTGAGGAAACTGACTGGTTGTTTTGTATCTCCCTCTTGGAAGCTGTACTCCATGCTGCCTTCAACCTGGTTTGCTGAAGTTCTATCAATGGAATTAAAAAAAGAAAGTTGATATTTAAATTATTCATTACATTATAACAATTACACAAAGCAAATGTGGAATGACAATGAATGTCTGTCAGCTTACGTGAAGACAGAGCTCTTGGGTTCAAATGGCTCTGCATTACGGTCATTCAGAAGTGTGTTTAGCTGAAGAGAGAAACAAAGATTTTCTTTCATAAATAGAAATAATATCACGGCTCTTTGTGTCCATATTTATTCAAACATTTTGAAGTGCTAGACAACCTAGTCTTCAGTAGGCTAATCAAAACTGAAAGAGGCCTAAACAGTTGATAAAATGATACCCAGAACAAAATGTCCCAGCTGAATACATGCTATGTTGAATTCTGAAATGAAGTCACATGAGTTTGACAGATCGAATAATAAAATTAATTCGGACTGAAGGAATAAGTGTCATGAGCATTAACTTAGGATGCTACTTTGCTGTGACCCTGCTGTAAGAAACTTGAATCAACATCCACGGACTAACAGTGAGCTAATTACTGGAATCTAGACAGAAAGTGTTGAGATAACACTAAATAGTAGAGTGCAGGGGTCTCTTTGCAGGGGCTCTATGATTCACTGCTGTAGGACAAGGGGAAATGTAGACTCACTGCTTTATTGATGGAATTCTGCACTTGGACGTAGGTGTTGTTCCTGAGGTCAGCGCTCTCTGGCATGCTGATATTACTAAGGCTGAATGTGAACAGGAGCGCATAGGAGGTGTCTGTTTTTTCTGTGGAATAAATCAAATGTTTTTATGTTTGCTCATGAAACACCACATTTAAATATATTAGAACAGTGATGTAGACATCTTTAAAACTAAAATTCAATTAGAAAGGAAATCATACTCTCATATGTGATGTTCAACACTTTGGTAGAATCACTGAGGTTTGTGAGTCGAGAGCTGAGCAGAGTTCTGGCGGCATGGAGGACCAAACTCTCACTGGGAACCGGAGAGGAAGAGTTGAACACCAGCTTGCTGTTCACCACTGCTGAACCAGACCTGAAGGAACAAAACATTATGTTGGTCATTTGTGAAGGAAGATCTTGCACACTTTAATATCTGTTCATTAAACAAATTAAGAAAAAAAACTTACATTTTGGAGGAAATTGTGGGAGAGGTCAACAGCAGATTGGTTGAAGTTGCTGGAGAAACTGTTGTAGACACAGCTAAGACATAAGAAGAGGTGGTGGTAAGTTAAGTTCATGGCACTTGGTATGAATGAAGATATCAAGACCAGACATTGAAACGATACTGTTCTTTAACTTACCACTTTGCATTTTTAGTTCATTGAGGAAACTGACTGGTTGTTTTGTATCTCCCTCTTGGAAGCTGTACTCCATGCTGCCTTCAACCTGGTTTGCTGAAGTTCTATCAATGGAATTAAAAAAAGAAAGTTGATATTTAAATTATTCATTACATTATAACAATTACACAAAGCAAATTTGGAATGACAATGAATGTCTGTCAGCTTACGTGAAGACAGAGCTCCTGGGTTCAAATGGCTCTGCATTACGGTCATTCAGAAGTGTGTTTAGCTGAAGAGAGAAACAAAGATTTTCTTTCATAAATAGGAATAATATCATGGATCTTTGTGTCCATATTTATTCAAACATTTTGAAGTGCTAGACAACCTAGTCTTCAGTAGGCTAATCAAAACTGAAAGAATCCTAAACAGTTGATAAAATGATACCCAGAACAAAATTTCACAGCTGAATACATGCTATGTTGAATTCTGAAATGAAGTCACATGAGTTTGACAGATCAAATAATAAAATTAATTCAGACTGAAGGAATGAGTGTCATGAGCATTAACTTAGGATGCTACTTTGCTGTGACCCTGCTGTAAGAAACTTGAATCAACATCCACGGACTAACAGTGAGCTAATTACTGGAATCTAGACAGAAAGTGTTGAGAAAACACTAAATAGTAGAGTGCAGGGGTCTCTTTGCAGGGGCTCTATGATTCACTGCTGTAGGACAACGGGAAATGTAGACTCACTGCTTTGTTTATGCTGTTCTTCACTTGGATATAAGTTTTGTTCCTGAGGTCAGCGCTCTCCGGCATGCTGATATCACTAAGGCTGAATGTGAACAGGAGCGCATAGGAGGTGTCTGTTTTTTCTGTGGAATAAATCAAATATATTTTAATTTGGTGGCTGGACCTACAAATTTAAAATGAGTAGCATCATATGAAGAATTCTACAACTTTGATAAATTTAGGGTGGAAAACATACTCTCATATGTAATGTTCAACACTTTAGTAGAATCATTGAGGTTTGTGAGTCGAGAGCTGAGCAAAGTTCTGGTAGCACTAATGATGAAACTCTCACTGGGGACCAGGGAGGAAGAGTTGAACACCAGCCTGCTGTACACCACTGCTAAACCAGATCTGAAGGAATAAAACATCATGTTAGTCATTTTTAATGAAGATCGTACACACTTTTTTATATGGTTAATGTACAAATCATCAATGATGCATACATTTTGGAGGAAGTTGTGGGAGAGGTCAGCAGCAGGCTGGTTGTAGTTGTTGGAGAAATTGTTGTAGATGCAGCTAAGAGATAGGAAGTAATGGCGGTAAGTAAAACTGATAGCAAGTGGTATAAAAAAATTACGAGACCACTCATTGACAGAATAATGTTCCTTAACGTACCCCTTGGTATTTTAAGTTCACTGAGGAAACTGTGTGGTTGTTTTGTATCTTCGTCTTGGAAGCTGTACTCCATGCTACCTTCAATCCGCTTTCCTGAAGTTCTATCAGTGGCATTAAGAAAGTAAGTCAGTATTTATATCAGTCATTGCATTATAACAATTAGAGAAAGATCATCTGGGATTAAAATAAACACTGCTGGGGCAGTAATCAGCAATACTTGGAATGGAACGCAGTTTGATTAGCTGTTTCACTCTTCTCACAATAAATAAACATTTCATTTTTGTTCAATTAATTGTCTAGATAAAGATTTTTCGAACTTCAGCAATGATTACATCTAAAAAAAAAAAGCAAAAATGCACCTTTTTACAATGAAGGAAACGGCTCAGCAGATAGTTGTAGTGGAATGGTTATACACCACTGGAGGGAGCTCTAGGGCTTAGATAAAGGACTGTCATATTCAATGTAAGGAAAGTAAATTCCCTATGGACCAGATTTTCTCCCTGAAGCCACTGGGTAGCTTTGGTTTGATGAACTGCATTGCTGCAGTGGTTGAAATGTTTTGGGCAATATGGAATGGCTTTAGGTCTACCAGGGAGAGATTCCGAATACCTAGTCAGCTTGCTCCAAGTTACAACTGGACACAGATCTGACTCTGGCAAAAACGATAATGCAGGGGAAAGTGAAGAAGTCAAGAAACAACAGCATCTGATCAGACATGAAACAGCAAAAATAAAAGAAACTAATGGATACAGTTGTAGCACAGAAGATGTCTAATCAGAAAATGATCTCGCACAAACCACAGGGGTCAACACAGAAAACACACAGGTGAAATGCTCCAAAAGATTTATGAAAACTCCTCAACACACGTGGAGTCCAGCCAGAGAGGTTGACTGCAGAAAATGCAGAAAAAAGGACACTTTTTGTCTGCAGGTAAGTGCAACGAGTTGAAGCATTAGTTCACAATGACAGAATTTATGAAGAGTTCACTTCTATGACCTTTAAACTGTTCAGACTTAAAATGCAGACAATATTTGCAAATGAAAAATACTACTTAATGGAGAACTGGTTTCCTTTAAGTTACACACAGAAGCGGCTATCACTGCATTCCCAAAATCCATGTGTAACAACTTTAATGATTGGTGGAGAAAGGATGCTGGGGGCAGTTGTGAAGACGGAGAGCTTTTTATTATTTATACACAACGCAAAAAACACTCAGCTTTTCAGCCTACAAATAAATTAAGACAAGACGCTTGCTGGGACTTTTCAGTCCTTTTTTCTTTCTTGTTCAGTTCAGCTCAGCTCAGTTTAGTTTAGTTTAGCTCGGCTCGGCTCTCACGCCTTCACTGGTCTCCTTCTCTCTCTGGGCTCTGCCACCTACTAAGGGAAGAGATGACTATAAGTAGGCTGGCAGAAACAAGGCACAGGTGAACATCATCAGCTACTTAGCCCACTGGTTCAGCCGGACCGGCTTCTCTGTCTTGCATTCAACGCTCGGCCACACCCCCTTCTCCACATACCCCCACCGCCTAATGCAGGCCGGGCAGCTGTCTGGCCGACACCCCACCCCACTTGCTCCCTTTTTAGTGAGATCAGTCAGCGGGCTGGTGACGTCCGAATAATTAGGTATAAACCTACGATAATAGCCATCCAGCCCCAGGAACCGTCTGACCTCCTTTTTGTCTTGGGTCTCAGGCAGATCGCAATTGCCGCCATCTTATCAATTTGGGGACGCACCTGTCCATGACCCAAGTGGAAGCCCAGATACTGTACCTCCACCCGTCCAATCGCACACTTCTTTGGGTTGGCCGTAAGCCCCGTCCGTCTCAGCGATCTCAGAACCGCCCTCAAATGTTGCACGTGCCACTGCTAATCATTGCTGTATATGATAATGTCATCTAAATAGGCAGCAGCATAAGCACAGTGGGGGCAGAGAATTCTATCCATGAGTCGCTGAAACGTGGCCAGTGCTCCAAATAACCCGAAAGGGAGGGTGACGAATTGGTGTAACCCAAATGGCATGGGGAAAGCCGTTTTTTTCTCGGGATACTGGAGTCAAGGGGATCTGCCAGTAGCCCTTGCTCAAATCCAGTGTCAAGTAAAATCGAGCAGCACCTAACCGATCGAGCAGTTCATCAACACGTGGCACTGGATAGGCATCGAATTTAGACATCACAGAAACAAACAGTCCTGTCAGGCTTGGGGACAAGCACCACAGGGCTGCTCCAATCACTGTGGGACTCTTTGATTACTCCCATATCGAGCATAGCCTTAATTTCATCCTGAACCACCTTTTTTTGTGCTCAGGCAAGTGATAAGGCTGGCTGCGTACAACCACGCCAGGAGGAGTTTCAATGTGGTGCTCTATGAGGTCAGTAAGGCCAGGCAGAGGTGAAAACATGTCAGAAAACTCCATTTGTAACTTTGCCACCTCTGCTTTTTGGGACAGGGAGAGCTGGTCCCCACAGGGGACTGGAGTGTGATTAAGTTTGGTTGGGACCTCTGGCCCAACTCGGCTCTCTCAGGAACCACCGTCGCCAGAGAAACAAGGACCACCTCCCTGCAGGGTTTAAGGAGATGGAAGGAGTTTAAGGAAGTGCCCCGCCTCTGTCTGTCCATCTGACCTCATAGTCAACTTCTCCCACTCGCCGTATGATCTCAAAGGGTCCTTGCCAGTTGGCGAGCAATTTGGAGCTCGTTGTGGGGAGTAAAATGAGCACTTTGTCTCCTGGTGAAAACCTATGCAGGCGAGTGCCCTGTTGTAGGTGCGGCTCTGATGTTCTTGAGCCTGGAGTAAATTCTCCTGACTTAAGTGCCCCAGTGCTTGGAGTTTTGCTCTCAGGTCAAGAACGTACTGGATTCCATTTTTGCTGTTTGAAGGTCCCTCCTTCCGAGTACTCTTTAATGATGTCTAGAACGCCCCTGGGTCTCCTCCCATACAATAATTCAAAAGGAGAAAACCCCAAGGAGGCTTGTGGGATCTCTTGCACTGCAAACAACAGGGGTTCTAGACACTTGTCCTAATTTTTAGCGTCCTCGTGAACGAACTTCCGAGTCATATTTTTAAGGGTTTGGTTAAAGCGTTCGACCAGTCCATCCGTTTGGGGGTGGTAAACACTGGTACAAATCGATTTAATGCCCAACAATTTGTATAGTTTGCGTAAAGTGCGTGACATGAACGTTGAGCCCTGATTAGTCAGGATCTCTTTCGGGATCCCGACTCAGGAGATCACTTTGAAGAGTGCCTCTGCAAAGGTATGTGCTGAAATGTTGCGAAGAGGCATCACTTCTGGATATCGCGTTGCATAATCTACTAAGACCAATATAAAGCGATACCCACGTGTGCTTCGATCCAATGGTCTGACAAGGTCCATGCCAATTCTTTCGAAGAGGACCTCAATTAATGAAAGGGGGTGCAAAGGCGCTTTTGGAATGGCCGGAGGGTTTACGAGCTGCCCGGCCAGTAGAAGCGGACCTTTAGACGATTAAGTGTCTTCTCTTGTCCCAGATGCCCTGCCACGGGATTATTATGAGCCGCATGGAATAACATTTCCCTACGGCTTTTCGGTATTAAAAGCTGGGTTGAAATGAATCGATATTTGAGTGTCCCACATCACTCTGTATAATCTATTTTTAATGAGTGAAAAATGCGGATTTGACAAGGGCCACCCCGGCTCGAGCAACTGACCATCAATAACTTTTACTTGGTCAAAAGCGTGCTTCAGCAAATTGTCACGTGACTGCTCCAGAGGGAAATCCCCAAGGTGAGCCAGGAGGGTAACCCCCGGAGGCGCAGCCACACTGTCAGGTTCGGCCCCACCCCCAGAGGAACCATCTCCTGCCCCCCCCCTCGGTCAGGAGCTCTCACAGACGGATGCGGAAGCCTGCCTGCCTGCCTCAAGCGCGGCACATGCCCCCTTCCTTATAGTACTACGGGACCCATCCTCTACCAAAGCCTTCACTAACACCCCAAACTGCAGCCAATTTGTCCCCAAAATCAGAAGACGGGTAAGGCGAGGACTAACCGCTGCCTTCATGCTATGCTTTTTTCTCCGAAACTCGATTGTAATGGGTAGGACAGGATAATTGTGTACATCTCCGTGGACACACCGCACCTCCACCCGATATGCCCTCTCCAATGCCGCATCTTGAATCAAGCATTGGTGAATCGTGGTTTGATTATAGCCAGAATCCACCAAGGCTTGATATACTCATTGGTATGCAGTACGCTCCAGCTCAATCAGGGGAGGTGGGTGGCAACGTGGGAACCCGGACCAATGTTCCGACCTCCATGTGGTAGCACTGGTCCTGGAAATGTCCGGGCTCCCCACATCGCCAACACATCTGCCCAAGCTTCACCCCAGCTCTTGTGGGCTCAGCTGTTGCCCCCTGTGCAGAGAGAGGAGGTAGACCATGAGTAGCTGCAGGGAGGGGGGTACGGGAGGTAGAAAGGGGGGGTTGCGGGGAGGACAAGAGTGGGGAAAGGGTTTGGGGGCTAGAGTTCCCTTCTTTCTGGGGGCGGGAATAGGGAGAGACAGAGAAGGAGAGAGAGGTATTGGCTGGCTGGGGGTTCCTGCCCCTGAATACGCCGCCATGTGCGCCTCTGCCAGCTTTGTGGCCTCGTCCAGCGATTCCGGTTGGTGGCACTGGACCCAAGCTGCCATCTCCTCGGGTAAGCGGGCGATGAACTGCCCCAACACCACCAGGTCGAGCACCTTCTCAGAATTGCATTCTTCAGACAAGACCCACCTCCTGCAGGAATCGCAGAGCTGTTGAGCCAGCACAAAGGGCCGGTCAAACTCTCGGAGTGTCAGCGTGCAGAACTGCTGACGGTGTTGTTCCAGAGTTCGACCAACCCTCTGAAGGATGGCCATTTTTAAGCTCGTCGTACTCCAGCTGCGATTGAGCGGGGAGCTGTTGGGCGGCAAGCTGGGCTTCCCCCGTGAGCAGGGGTAACAGTCAGATGGCCCAGTCCATTTTCGGCCACCCCTGGTCTTCTGCCGCTCTCTCGAAGAGCTCCACGAACGCTTCGGGGTCGTCTTGTGGAGTTATCTTCGAGATGGAGATGGTAGCTGGAGCTGGAGTACTGGTGGCTGACAACAAACTCTGGAGAAGCTTCCTGTCCGCCTCTTGGCCCTGAGCCAGGGCCTCGAAGTGGGCCTGGTTTTCCCGCTGGACGTCCAGGAGAGCTTGATGCTGTGTCTGCTGCAGGAGGGAGAGTGCTTTAACTATCTCTCCAAGCGGTGAGGACTCCATGGCGACGTTCGTCCAGTCCTCCCGGGTTTCGGCACCACTGTAACAACTTTAATGATGGGTGGAGGAAGGACGCCGGGGGCAGGTGTGAAGACGGAGAGCTTTTTATTATTTATACACAGTGCAAAAACCACTCAGCTTTTCAGCCCACAGATAAATTAAGACAAAACACTTGCTGGGACTTTTCAGTCCTTTTTTTTTCTTGTTCAGTTCAGCTCAGCTCAGTTTAGTTTAGTTTAGTTTAGTTTAGCTCAGCTCGGCTCGGCTCGGCTCGGCTCTCACGCCTTCGCTGGTCTTGTAAATGTTTGTGTGTTCGAGCCTTCTGTGAGTAGGATCTTAGTTAACATAAATGGTTTCCACACAATAACATGCTAGCAAACATAAACGACCATGCTACCAGTGTTAGCGGGACTGCTACCCATGTTGAGGCTATTCGAGCCTCTCAATGATGAAGAGTAAGCGTCATCTAAAACTTGACTTAAGAAAATGGACTTCTTCAAGAATGCAAGGTTCAGTGTGTTAGTGGCTTCTGTATTGAAAGTGCAAACTATGATAGCATCAAACAGACTATGAGACATGCACTACAAGACACACAGAACCTACAGACAGTGTCACAGGGTGACACAAAATTTAAAGCCAGTGCATGTCATCTTCACCTTTGAAAAGAGACCTTTTTTCATCCAGGCATAAATCTGAAAATCTGTTTTGCATTTTTCTTGGCAAGGCAAATGGATAGGCGAAAAGCTCATGGAGCATCCATATTAATATGCAAAAATATCAATCAAACATTTATGCACCAAGAGTGATGCTAATGGTCAATATCTGATAGTGACTCTTTCCATTGTGGCAAAACATGACCACTCCTGCTCAAACTTATAAATGTCTCAGGCTGTATATCTGGGTACACAGTTAACTGGCAAAAAGTATGTTTATGCCATTATGTCGCAGCTTTTGGAAGAAAATCTTGTATGTCCATTTTTTATGTTTTTCAGTTTTTGACATAATTTGAAAATGAGAATTACATTGTATGTGGATTCCATGATGAATGAACCAAAAGAAATGGCCCAAAATGACTTGGGAAAAAGTCTGGTTCCACTGACTTACATTAAAAGTAATGTAGGTTTTTTTCCTTCTCCTGTAAAGTTACCATTTTGGAGGTACAAGGTTTTCTTCCGACAACAGCGATATGTTAGTGTAGATTTGATTTTCCTGAGCTCCAACTTTGGGATTACATCATCAAGAGATTATGAGAGGCTAAACTATAAAGCTATGCTAGATAAACTTAAAAGAAATATGCAGTCCTGGAGGGTGCATCCCCTGTCATTGATGGGCTGGGTCACTCACCAGATTAGGAAAGCATTTAAAATTTCTGACACTAGTGCTTTGGTCCCTATTGCTTTTAATCATGCCTTTCATCCATCACAAACAGACAAGGTTTTTTTGAAATGGAAAAGCAAAGGGATTGTAACTGTAGGGGACCTTTACATTGATAATTTCCCCTCAGCTCACCTCGCCCCACCCAGCTCAAGCTGCAATTTGGATTACACCCGTCTCATTTCTTTCATTTTTTACAGATACAGAGTTATGTTAAACCCAATTTTATCAACTTTGAGACATTTCAACCCCCAAAAGACCTTTATTTTTATATGGCCTCAGAGTCAGATAGATGTCTAGGTTTACAAATCAGTTTCAAAGCTCCTGTACCCCTTCAATCTAAAAATTTAATGAGTCATGGGACAAGGGCCCTGAAATAGAGACCTCTGAGGGCACCTGCTCTTCTGAGATCCCTAAGAGAACCAGGCTCGTGAAATTCATAGTAGGTTAACAAGTGTACAATTCATAATCAAAATGTATGCTGCTTATGATTTTCTTTCTTTCTAATTTGTTTATTTTCTTACTGACATAGTTATGGGAAGGGTATAAATGCGTGGGTAGAATGAAAGACAAATGGTTTGCCTTGTGTTCTGGAAAGTATTCAAATACCAAAAAATATGTGTTTATATATATATATATATATATATATATATATATATACAAAATGCCATCGTCAGCTTACATGAAGACAGATCTCTTAGGTTCAAATGGTTCTGCATCAGGGTCATTCAGAAGCATGTTTAGCTGGTGAGAGAAACAAAGACATTTGGTGAGATATAAAGTGATACATCATTGCGCATCTAAAAACAATAAAAAACAGTTTTCAATATGCGAATCAAACTGAGGTCCAAACAAATTATAAATGGATACACAAAATAATAGGTACACAGACACCACCTTGCAATATTAAATGCAATTTTAAATTAGGTTTTATGCTTTATTCCAATTTATCACAGCTGAATCTATGCCATGTTGAAGTTTGAAAAGTCACATTGGTTCAAGAGATACAATAACAAAACAAATTCTGATTGAAGGAATATGTCATTTAAAGCAGTAATTAACTGGGGGGCAATGATACAAACACATATTGCTGATTCTGGATCATGATATGTTGCAAGTGCACATTTAGAAAAGAATGCTAAAATAACTTTTGCATTTATTTATTTATCTATTTTTTGCCAATTCCATTTTTTTTCCAAAAAGACATTGATGCTTGTTGAAGGGATAACTGGCACAAATCATTTTCTTAGAAGACATAAAATGAACAAAAAAGAATACTCTGGCCTTTATCTGACAAACAACAACATATACAACATTTAAGTCCCTTTTCCAGAGTGTGCACGCATCCCATGAGCCTCCTGGCAAGGCCATGCTGATGCCCCATGAGCATTTAGAGGCCAGCACCAGGGGTTGCATCATAACATCCTTTAAAGGTTGACCATTCCCGGCAACCTACCAGGACCGCATTCCCTGAAAGTGTCATTAAGTAACCACTGTGGTAACTGTAGAGAAAGAGTGTTCAAAATGATCGTCTCAACTAGTTGTTCAGTGACATTTTTGGGAAATGCACCCAATGCTAAAGTTAGGTTCTTGTTTGAATTCTCCTCAGGTGCCAGAATGTAATTGCTGCACCATTTAAAGTGGATTGGAAAGTTCAGGTTAGAAGTTGGAGAATAAGAAGGTTTGTTCAAGCTGAGTTAACCACACCAGTTTTTTCCAGTTCTGAGAGCTGTGCAGCAATGTTTTATGTTGTTTAAAATTTTACGTTAAAAAAAGACTAACATGGATTGTGTTAAGCAGAACTATAAAATCTATTCCCGTGAACATGCATTATATAGCATGAAATCTAACCAGGAATGCCGGAAGTTGAGAGTGCTGAAATTTTAAGCAGTGTATACGATGCAAAACAATTAGCCTTTTTCCATTTGATTTTTTTTGCGTAATTACATCTAACAGAACATGTCATAATAATGTGCTATAATGAGGCAAGAGATGACAATATATAAATATAAATGACACATTAATCCGCTGATGCACATCACTCTGCTCTCTCATTCTGGATGAACTTTATGTAAATGAGCTCAGTGGCAACCAATCAGATTGTTGATATGCAGCGCAGTAAGTGATTGTATCACTCCCACAGTCAAACACTGAGATTTAACACTCAAAGGCGCATTGAGTGGGAGAAATAATGGTGGATAAAAAACTTGATTATTACATTAGATGGTTCTTTTTAAGTTTTAAAAACTAGGCTGCTTTGGAGCTCAGAACTGGCTTACATTTTTGCTCTTTGAACTTCAGCCTGCATGTGTTTTAGCAACACACACAAATCTGCAATGCAGGGCTATTGCAGATTTTTTAAATCTAAAAATAAAAACTCTGCTTGAAAACAGTCACACATTGCTCTATACTACACTCAAATTATTCTAAAGTTTAGACCGTTTATTTGATGTAAATATTTTTAGCAGTTGCAATACTGTAATGAGGGAGTGCTGCAGCCCCCTCAGCACCCTCACTTCCTGCATCCCTGAATCTAACCCTAATCGATACACAGTATGTACCATCTCATGCCCCCCGTATAGACAAAAAAACAATTTTAACATGCGTGTCCTGACACCCCTTGATATGCTAATCTCATCTGAACCTGCTGTAAGAGACCTGAATCAACATGAAGTGTTTGACAGTGAGCTGATGATAAGAAACTATTGTGTAAGAGTTTGGAAAACACTAATCTGTACTGTTTGGAGGTCTTGCTTCAGGGGCTCTAAATTATACTGCTATAGGAGAAGGAGGGGAATGTAAACTCACCACTTTGTTGATGGAGGTCTGCACTTCTATGTAGGTGTTGTTCCTGAGGTCAGTGCTCCCTGGCAAGCTGATATTACTGAGACTGATTGTGAAAATGACCGCATAGGAAGTGTTTAAATCTTCTGTGGAAAAAAAATGAAAAATGTAATGATTTAACTTTGATAAAATGTTTTGTGTAGGACTGCTTAAGACAGTTGTTATGGTATATTTTATTTAGAAAGAAAACATACTTTGAAAGGTAAACGTCAGCACTTTAACAAGATCACTCAGGTTTGAGAGTCGAGAGTTGATCAGAGTTCTAATAGTGCTGAGGACCAAACTTTCACTGGGGATGGGAGTGGAAGGGCTGAACACCAGCCTGCTCTGGACCATAGCAGAACCAGACCTATAAAACAAATTTATAGAAGATTATGCATTGTTGTCCTTTCTTTATATTGGTCATTTTAAACTTGGTTTTCAATTTTTTTTTGAAGATTCAATTTTTTTTAAAGATTTTACCTACATTTGTATGGTATTTGCAGATGGAGATGTTTCATGCATCCCTGCTGCAAACACAAAGAAAACAAATGTTAAATTATATTGACTTCTTGTTTGACCAACATCAGTTACATTACTAATGACTGTTGGAATTGAGTAGTCCAAGCTTTTAAAATGAATGTACATCTATGTTTACAGTATCATTCATATAAGTAATTGTTGAGACAGATAATGATTTTAAGATTGTTGTAAAATTATTACATGAAATATAGGAGCCCATTGTTGTTCTGGTAATAGCTTAAGTAGTTTACATTGCTGTTGGGTTTGTGGAGTTAACATTTTTGTCCACTGTAACCAGGGAGGTAAGTGCATTTGGTGAAAGCATTGGCAATGAGGAGACATTTATTGAGGACTGTACAGAAGGTTTTGTGATTTGTAGTGACAGATGTTTCATTTGTTTTAGCTCTTGCAACTGTAAAATCTGTTTGTTTAAAAAATGATGATAAATCTTCCGTGTTAGTGCCTAAACCAGGAGTCAGCACAGGCACATATACAATGTGTGTGGAAGTGGACGATTAAACTGACAATGCCTCAGTACTAATGGTTAAACTAGGAGATGTTGTAGAAGCAGTGGTGGTCAATGAATAAGTTGTTGTAGCCATCACTGTGGTAGTTTTAGGCAAAGGTACTGTTGTTGAAGTTTCAGCTGAGAAAAAACTGCAGAGCTGTAAATCCTATCTGAGAAGTAGATACCGTGGAAAGTGTGTTTGACGCAGCCAATAATGTTTCTGGAGTAGGTATTGGCAAAATTTTGTCATGGTGCTAAGTGTGGACTGGGATGACATTTTTGTTATAGTGCTAAATGTGGATTAGGTGGAATTGTCTGGTGCTACAATTTCATTTGTCAACACAATTGTTCCAAATTTTCCTCATGTAAAAAGTGACAAAAGTGTTGTCAAAGATAAATCTGACAATGTCTCAGCATTAATGCTTGAACTGGGAGTTGTCATAGAAGGAGTGGTGGTAAATTAAGGAGTCTGTGTAGTCACATCTTTTATAGAATCAGGTGTTGTTAATATTGTTAACCTTTCAGATGTGGACAACTGCTGATTTGTCAGTTTTACCTCTGTGGGAGAAATTATTAACAATGTGCTTGGAGTGAATATTTTTTAATTAGAGTAGGGGCTGAGGAACCTCTGTCACTGTGCTAAGTGTGGATTTGATAGAGATTTCTGATACTATGTTTTAATAATCAAAGTATCAATTATTGTGATGGTTTCTATTGAAAGCCTGTGCTGTGTGGCATAAAATTGATGCCTCAGCACTAATGGTTGAACTAGGAGTTGTTATCAAAGCAGTGTGGTAAATGATGGAGTAAGTGCTGTGGATGTTTCATGAACAGTAAGTGTTTTTGAAATTTCTGATGTGAAAATTGCTGTGAAGATGATGTGGGAGATGTTGTGGAAAGTGTGTTTGAAATGTATGACAACACTTCTGTTGTGGTGCTAAATGTGGGCATCATTAATGTTTCTAATTCTACATTTGTTTTCAATTTTTCAGTTGTGGTGCTCAGTGTGGACTGGGTAGAGCTTTTTAATTCTAGAATTTTATTTGTCAACATATGAACCGTGTTAACTATACCTGTTGTGAAATCTTGTGTTTGTGAATTTGAAACTGACAAAGGCTTAGCACTATTGGCTGAAGTAGGAGTTGTTGCAGAAGCAGTGGTGGGCAATGAAGGAGTCAGTATAGTCACTGCTGTTATAGTTTTAGGCATAGTTACTGTCATTGAAATTGCAGATGTGTGAAATTTTTGAGTTTCTGTTGTTGTGCTCAGTGTAGATTGCGTAGAGCTGTCTGATCGTATAATTTTATCCGTCAACGTTTGAACTGTGGTAACTGTGGTTTTGAAACTGACAAACTCTGCCCACTGTACATAGTTATAGGGTTGGGAAATGAAGGAGTTGATGTAGTTACTGCTGTGGTAGTTTCAGGCATAGATGATGTTAACATTTCTGGTGTTGAATGCTGAGATGTGGAAAATTGCTGAGTTTTTGATGATACCTCTGTAGGCGACACTGTAGAAATTGTGCTTGAACTCAGTGATGTGGTAGCTGGAATTGCTGTTGACAACATATTTGTTGTGCTACCCGGTGTAGATAGGGGAGAGATGTCTGATTCTACAATTTTACTTGTCAACATTTGAAATGTGGTAACTCTTCCTGTTGTCAAATCTTCAGTCTGAGGGGTGGAAACTGACAAAATCTCACAAGTATTGGTTGAAGTCTAAGTTTTTTCCGAAGCAGTGGTGGGCGATGAATGAGTTGATGTAGTCTTTGCTGTGATAGTTTGAGGCATAGATGCTGTTGTTGAAGGTTGAGATGTGGAAAATTGAATTTCAACCAGAGAAGCAGTGAAAAGTGTGCTTACAGGTAATGATGTGGTAGCCGGAGTAGGCTTAGACAACATTTCTATTGTAGTGCTCAGTGTGGATTGGGTAGAGCTGTCTGATTCTACAATTTTATTTGTCAACATTTGAACTGGGGTAACTGTTTCTGTTGTCAAATCCTCTGTTTGAGAATTTGAAATGGATAAACAATGCCCACTGTATGTAGATGTAGGAGTTTTTGCAGATAGAGCGTTGGGAAATGGAACAAGTTGATGTATTTATTGCTGTGGTAATTTCAGGCGTAAATGATGTTGTTGACATTTCATGTGTTGAAAGCTGCTAAGATGTTGATCCTTCTTCTGTCAGAAAATCACCGGAAACTGTACTTGGATTTAATGATGTGGTAGCTGAAGTTGGTGTTGACAATACTTCTGTCATTGTACTCAGTGTAGATTGGGTAGAGCTTTCTGATTGTACAATTTTATTTGTCAAGAATTGATCTGTTGTCACTGTTACTGTTGGGAAATCCTTTGTTAGGGAAGTTAAAACTGACCAAGACTCAGCACTATTGGCTGAAGTAGGAGCTGTTGCAGAAGCAGAGGTGGGCAATGAAGGAGTCAATGTAATCACTGCAGTTGATGTTTCAGGCACAGTTCTTGTTGTTTTAGTTGCAGATGTGTAAAACTGCTGAGATATTGATCCTATGTCTTTAGGACTTATTGTGGAAAGTGTGCTTTGATTAAAAATGGTTGTTTCTGGAAATAGTGTTGATGACACTTCTTTCAAAGTGCTATGAGTGGATTGGGGGGGCTTTCTGAGCCTACCATTTTAGTTGTCAAAATATGAACTGTGTTAACTGTTTGGAATGCTGGAACTGGTAAAGTTTCACCTGTGTTGGGTGAAGTAGGGGTTGTTGCAGAAGCGATGAAATAGTTGGTGTACTCAATGCTGTGGAGATTTCAGGTTTAAATGCTATTGTTGAAGTTTCAGATGTGGAAAATTGCTGAGTTTTTGATAATACCTCTATGGAAGACACTGAAGAAATTGTGTTTGAACTCAGTGATGTGGTAGCTGGAATTGGCTTTGACACAGACTCACCACTGTTAGCTGAAGCAGAAGTTGTTGCAGAACCAGTGATGGGCAAGGAAGGAGTCAGAGTAGTTACTGTTGTGGTACTTTCAGGCATAGTTACTGGTTTTGAAGCTGCAGATGTGTCAAACCACTGTGTTGTTGGTCCTTTGTCTGTAGGAGTTACTGTGGAAGGTGTGCTTGAAGTAACTGTTGTTAATGCTGGACTAAGTGTTGATGACGCCTCTATCGTGGTGCTTACTTTGGATTGGGTAGAGCTTTGTGATTCTATTATTTGTTTTGTTAACACATCAGCAGTAGTAACTCTTCTTGTGGTTAATTTTTGTGTTTGGGAGGTTGATACGGAAAAAGTTTCAGCAATATTAGCTGAAGAAGTAGTTGTTGCAGAAGCAAAAGAGGGAAAAGAAGGAGTCAATGTAGCCACTTCTGTAACAGTTTCAGGTGTATTCACTGTGGTTGAACTTATAAAAGTGGAAAACTGCTGAGTTGCTGTTGCTACATCTATGGGAGACAATGGGTAAATTGTGCTCAAGCTCAATGATATCATGACTGGAGTTAGTGTTAGCAACATTTCTGTCATGGTACCCGGTGTAGTTTGGCTGGAGCTGTGTGATTCTACGATTTTGTTCGTCAAAATCTGAACTGTGGTAAATTTATCTGTTTTCAAACCTTCTGTCTGAGATATTGAAAGTAACAGACTCTGGCCAGCATTGGTAGAAGTTGGAGGAGTTATTGCAAAGGCAGTGGCAGGCAGTGAATGAGCTACAGAGGTAGACATTACTGTGGTTATTTCAGGTGTATATAATGTTGTTGAAGACTTAGATATGGAAAGTTGCTGAGTTGTTGATCCCTCCTCTGTCAGAGGAGGGATCAACAACTCAGTTGAAAGTGCACTTGGAGTTGAAGATGTGGTATCTGGAATAGGAATTGACAACAATTCTGTCATGGTGCTAAGTGAAGGTTGAGTGGAGCTGACTGATTCTACAACTTTAGTTGTCAAAGTATTAATTTGAATATCTGTTCCTGTTGTGAAATCTTGGGTTCCGGAAGTTGACACTGACACAAACTCACCACTGTTGGCTGAAGAAGAAGCTGTTCCAGAAGCAGTAGTGGGCAATGAAGACATCAGTGTAGTCTCTGCTCTGGTACTTTCAGGCGTAGTTGATACTATGTCTGTGAGATGTATTGTGGAAAGTTCACTTAGAGTAACTATTGTCATTTTTGGATTTTGTGTAGACGACACCTCTAGGGGGTTGGTGAGAGGTGTTTGGGTAGAGCTTTCTGATTTTACACTTGTTTGTGTTGACATATCAACAGTAGTATCTGTTCCTATTGTCAGGTCTTGTGTTTGAAATGTTGAAACTGACAAAGTGTCGCCACTACTGGTTGAAGTAGGAGTTGTTGCAGATGGAGTGTAGGGCAATGCATTAATTGATGCAGTTACTGCTGTGGTAGTTTCAGGCATAGATGATGTTGAAATTTCAGATGTGGAAGACTGCTGACTTGTTGATCCCTCCTCTGTCAGAAATGCAGTGGAACCTGTGCTTGGAATTGATGATGTGGTATCTGGCATAGGAGTGGACAACACTTCTGTGAAGGTGCTGAGTGTGGATTGAGTGGAGCTTTCTGATGAAATACTATTAGTTGTCAATGTAGTAAGTTGAATAACTGTTTCTGTCGTGAAACCTTGTGTTCTGGAATTTGACAATGACACAGACTCACCACTGTTGGCTGAAGAAGAAGCTGTTCCAGAAGCAGTAGTGGGCAATGAAGACATCAGTGTAGTCTCTGCTGTGGTACTTTCAGGCATAGATGATCCTACGTCTGTGGGATGTACTGTGGAAAGTTGAATTAGACTAAGTATTGTTGTTTTTGGATTTTGTGTAGACAACACCTCTAGGATTGTTGTGAGAGGTGTTTGGGTAGAGCTTTCTGATTCTACACTTGTTTTTGTTGACATATCAACAGTAGTATCTGTTCCTATTGTCAGGTCTTGTGTTTGAAATGTTGAAACTGACAAAGTGTCACCACTACTGGTTGAAGTAGGAGTTGTTGCAGATGGAGTGTCAGGCAATGCATGAATTGATGTAGTTACTGCGGTGGTAATTTCAGGGATAGATGATATTGAAATTTCAAGTGTGGAAAACTGCTGAGTAGTTGGTCCCTCCTCTGTTGGAGATGCATGTGAAAGCGTGCTTGGAGTTGATGTGGTATCTGGAGTAGGAGTTGACAACACTTTGGTCAAGGTGCTGAGTGTGGATTGAGTGGAGCTGTCTGATGCTATACTATTAGTTGTCAGTGTAGCAAACTGCATAATTGGTCCTGTTGCGAAATCTTGTGTTCCGGAAGTTGACACTGATAAAGACTCACCACTGTTGGCTGAAGAAGAAGCTGTTCCAGAAGCAGTAGTGGGCAATGAAGACATCAGTGCAGTCTCTACTGTTGTACTTTCAGGCATAGTTGATCCTATGTCTGTGGGATGTATTGTGGAAAGTTCAATTAGACTAAGTATTGTTGTTTTTGGATTTTGTGTAGACAACACCTCTAGGATTGTTGTGAGAGGTGTTTGGGTAGAGCTTTCTGATTCTACACTTGTTTTTGTTGACATATCAACAGTAGTATCTGTTCCTATTGTCAGGTCTTGTGTTTGAAATGTTGAAACTGACAAAGTGTCGCCACTACTGGTTGAAGTAGGAGTTGTTGCAGATGGAGTGTAGGGCAATGCATTAATTGATGCAGTTACTGCTGTGGTAGTTTCAGGCATAGATGATGTTGAAATTTCAGATGTGGAAGACTGCTGACTTGTTGATCCCTCCTCTGTCAGAAATGCAGTGGAACCTGTGCTTGGAATTGATGATGTGGTATCTGGCATAGGATTGGACAACACTTCTGTCAAGGTGCTGAGTGTGGATTGAGTGGAGCTTTCTGATGAAATACTATTAGTTGTCAATGTAGTAAGTTGAATAACTGTTTCTGTCGTGAAACCTTGTGTTCTGGAATTTGACAATGACACAGACTCACCACTGTTGGCTGAAGAAGAAGCTGTTCCAGAAGCAGTAGTGGGCAATGAAGACATCAGTGCAGTCTCTACTGTTGTACTTTCAGGCGGAGTTGATACTATGTCTGTGGGATGTATTGTGGAAAGTTCAATTAGACTAAGTATTGTCGTTTTTGGATTTTGTGTAGATGACACCTCTAGGATGGTTGTGAGAGGCGCTTGGGTAGAGGTTTCTGATTCTACACTTGTTTTTGTTGACATATCAAAAGTAGTATCTGTTCCTATTGTCAGGTCTTGTGCGTGCGATGTTGAAAATGACGAAGTGCCACCACTACTGGTTGAAGTAGAAGTTATTGCAGATGGAGTGTCGGGCAATGAATGAATTGATGTAGTTACTGCTGTGGTATTTTCAGGGAAAGATGTTGTCGAAATTTCAGGTGTGGACAGCTGCTGAGTAGTTGATCCCTCCTCTGTCGGAGATGCATGTGAAAGCTTGCTTGGAGTCAATGTGGTATCTGGAGTAGGAGTTGACAACACTTCTGTCAAGGTGCTGAGTGTGGATTGGGTGGAGCTGTCTGATGATATACTATTAGTTGTCAATGTAGCAAAGTTGCATAACTGGTCCTGTTGTGACACCTTGTGTTCTGGAATTTGACAATGACACAGACTCACCACTGTTGGCTGAAGAAGAAGCTGTTCCAGAAGCAGTAGTGGGCAATGAAGACATCAGTGCAGTCTCTGCTCTGGTACTTTCAGGCATAATTGATACTAGGTCTGTGGGATGTATTGTGGAAAGTTCATGTGGACTAAGTATTGTTGTTTTTGGATTTTGTGTAGACGACACCTCTATGGTGGTTGTGAGAGGTGTTTGGGTAGAGCTTTCTGATTTTACACTTGTTTTTGTTGACATATCAAAAGGAGTATCTTTTCCTATTGTCAGGTCTTGTGTGTCCGATGTTGAAAATGACAAAGTGCCGCCACTAGTGGTTGAAGTAGGAGTCATTGCAGATGGAGTGTCGGGCAATGAATGAATTGATGTAGTTACTGCTGTGGTAATTTCAGGGATAGATGATATTGAAATTTCAGGTGTGGAAAGCTGCTGAGTATTTGATCCCTCCTCTGTTGGAGATGCATGTGAAAGCGTGCTTGGAGTCGATGTGGTATCTGGAGTAGGAGTTGACAACACTTCTGTCAAGGTGCTGAGTGTGGATTGGGTGGAGCTTTCTGATGAAATACTATTAGTTGTCAATGTAGTAAGTTGAATAACTGTTTCTGTCGTGAAACCTTGTGTTCTGGAATTTGACAATGACACAGACTCACCACTGTTGGCTGAAGAAGAAGCTGTTCCAGAAGCAGTAGTGGGCAATGAAGACATCAGTGCAGTCTCTGCTCTGGTACTTTCAGGCATAATTGATACTAGGTCTGTGGGATGTATTGTGGAAAGTTCATGTGGACTAAGTATTGTTGTTTTTGGATTTTGTGTAGACGACACCTCTAGGGTGTTTGTGAGAGGTGTTTGGGTAGAGCTTTCTGATTCTACACTTGTTTTTGTTGACATATCAAAAGTAGTATCTGTTCCTATTGTCAGGTCTTGTGTTTGCGATGTTGAAACTGACAAAGTGCTGCCACTAGTGGTTGAAGTAGGAGTCGTTGCAGATGGAGTGTCGGGCAATGAATGAATTGATGTAGTTACTGCTGTGGTAATTTCAGGGATAGATGATATTGAAATTTCAGGTGTGGAAAGCTGCTGAGTTCTTGATCCCTCCTCTGTTGGAGATGCATGTGAAAGCGTGCTTGGAGTCGATGTGGTATCTGGAGTAGGAGTTGACAACACTTCTGTCAAGGTGCTGAGTGTGGATTGGGTGGAGCTTTCTGATGAAATACTATTAGTTGTCAATGTAGTAAGTTGAATAACTGTTTCTGTCGTGAAACCTTGTGTTCTGGAATTTGACAATGACACAGACTCACCACTGTTGGCTGAAGAAGAAGCTGTTCCAGAAGCAGTAGTGGGCAATGAAGACATCAGTGCAGTCTCTGCTCTGGTACTTTCAGGCATAATTGATACTAGGTCTGTGGGATGTATTGTGGAAAGTTCATGTGGACTAAGTATTGTTGTTTTTGGATTTTGTGTAGACGACACCTCTATGGTGGTTGTGAGAGGTGTTTGGGTAGAGCTTTCTGATTTTACACTTGTTTTTGTTGACATATCAAAAGGAGTATCTTTTCCTATTGTCAGGTCTTGTGTGTCCGATGTTGAAAATGACAAAGTGCCGCCACTAGTGGTTGAAGTAGGAGTCATTGCAGATGGAGTGTCGGGCAATGAATGAATTGATGTAGTTACTGCTGTGGTAATTTCAGGGATAGATGATATTGAAATTTCAGGTGTGGAAAGCTGCTGAGTATTTGATCCCTCCTCTGTTGGAGATGCATGTGAAAGCGTGCTTGGAGTCGATGTGGTATCTGGAGTAGGAGTTGACAACACTTCTGTCAAGGTGCTGAGTGTGGATTGAGTGGAGCTGTCTAATCCTATGCTATTAGTTGTCAATGTAGCAAACTGCATAACTGGTCCTGTTGTGACATCTTGTGTTTTGGAAGTTGACACTGACACAGACTCACCACTGTTGGCTGAAGAAGAAGCTGTTCCAGAAGCAGTAGTGGGCAATGAAGGCATCATTACAGTCTCTGCCATTGTACTTTCAGGCAGAGTAAATCCTATGTCTGTGGGATATATTGTGGAAAGTTCAATTAGACTATGTATTGTTGTTTTTGGATTTTGTGTAGAGAACACCTCTAGGATTGTTGTGAGAGGCGTTTGGGTAGAGCTTTCTGATTTTACACTTGTTTTTGTTGACATATCAAAAGGAGTATCTTTTCCTATTGTCAGGTCTTGTGTGTCCGATGTTGAAAATGACAAAGTGCCGCCACTAGTGGTTGAAGTAGGAGTCATTGCAGATGGAGTGTCGGGCAATGAATGAATTGATGTAGTTACTGCTGTGTTAGTTTCAGGGATAGATGACATTGAACTTTCAGGTGTGGAAAACTGCTGAGTAGTTGAGCCCTCCTTTGTTGGAGATGCATGTGAAAGTGTGCTTGGAGTTGATGTGGTATCTGGAGTAGGAGTTGACAACACTTCTGTCAAGGTGCTGAGTGTGGATTGAGTGGAGCTGTCTGGTGCTATACTATTAGTTGTCAGTGTAGCAAACTGCATAACTGGTCCTGTTGCGAAATCTTGTGTTCCGGAAGTTGACACTGATACAGACTCACCACTGTTGGCTGAAGAAGAAGCTGTTCCCAAAGCAGTAGTGGGCAATGAAGGCATCATTACAGTCTCTGCCATTGTACTTTCAGGCACAGTTGATCCTATGTCTGTGGGATATATTGTGGAAAGATCACTTAGAGTAACTATTGTCGTTTTTGGATTTTGTGTAGACAACACCTCTAGGATGGTTGTGAGAGGTGTTTGGGTAGACCTTTCCGATTCTACACTTGTTTTTGTCAACATATCAACAGTAGTATCTGTTCCTATTGTCAGGTCTTGTGTTTGCGATGGTGAAACTGACAAAGTGTCGCCACTACTGGTTGAAGTAGGAGTTGTTGCGGATGGAGTGTCGGGCAATGAATGAATTGATGTAGTTACTGCTGTGTTAGTTTCAGGGATAGATGACATTGAACTTTCAGGTGTGGAAAACTGCTGAGTAGTTGAGCCCTCCTTTGTTGGAGATGCATGTGAAAGTGTGCTTGGAGTTGATGTGGTATCTGGAGTAGGAGTTGACAACACTTCTGTCAAGGTGCTGAGCGTGGATTGAGTGGAGGTGTCTGTTGCTATACTATTAGTTGTCAATGTAGTAAATTGAATAACTGGTCCGGTTGTGAAATCTTGTGTTCCGGAAGTTGTCAGTGACACAGACTCACCACTGTTGGCTGAAGAAGAAGCTGTTCCAGAAGCAGTAGTGGGCAATGAAGACATCAGTGCAGTCTCTGCTGTGGTACTTTCAGGTATAATTGATCCTAGGTCTGTGGGATGTATTGTGGAAAGTTCACTTGGACTAAGTATTGTTGTTTTTGGATTTTGTGTAGACGACACCTCTAGGGTGGTTGTGAGAGGTGTTTGGGTAGAGCTTTCTGATTCTACACTTGTTTTTGTTGACATATCAAAAGTAATATCTGTTCCTATTGTCAGGTCTTGTGTTTGCGATGTTGAAACTGACAAAGTGCCGCCACTAGTGGTTGAAGTAGGAGTTGTTGCAGATGGAGTGTCAGGCAATGAATGAATTGATGTAGTTACTGCTGTGTTAGTTTCAGGGATAGATGATATTGAAATTTCAGGTGTGGAAAACTGCTGAGTAGTTGATCCCTCCTCTGTTGGAGATGCATGTGAAAGCGTGCTTGGAGTCGATGTGGTATCTGGAGTAGGAGTTGACAACACTTCTGTCAAGGTGCTGAGTGTGGATTGAGTGGAGCTGTCTGATCCTATGCTATTAGTTGTCAATGTAGCAAACTGCATAACTGGTCCTGTTGTGACATCTTGTGTTTTGGAAGTTGACACTGACACAGACTCACCACTGTTGGCTGAAGAAGAAGCTGTTCCAGAAGCAGTAGTGGGCAATGAAGACATCAGTGCAGTCTCTGCTGTGGTACTTTTAGGCATAATTGATCCTAGGTCTGTGGGATGTATTGTGAAAAGTTCACTTGGACTAAGTATTGTTGTTTTTGGATTTTGTGCAGACGACACCTCTAGGGTGTTTGGGAGAGGTGTTTGGGTAGAGCTTTCTGATTCTACACTTGTTTTTGTTGACATATCAAAAGTAATATCTGTTCCTATTGTCAGGTCTTGTGTTTGCGATGTTGAAACTGACAAAGTGCTGCCACTAGTGGTTGAAGTAGGAGTTGTTGCAGATGGAGTGTCTGGGCAATGAATGAATTGATGTAGTTACTGCTGTGTTAGTTTCAGGGATAGATGATATTGAAATTTCAGGTGTGGAAAACTGCTGAGTAGTTGATCCCTCCTCTGTTGGAGATGCATGTGAAAGCGTGCTTGGAGTCGATGTGGTATCTGGAGTAGGAGTTGACAACACTTCTGTCAAGGTGCTGAGTGTGGATTGAGTGGAGCTGTCTGATCCTATGCTATTAGTTGTCAATGTAGCAAACTGCATAACTGGTCCTGTTGTGACATCTTGTGTTCCGGAAGTTGACACTGACACAGACTCACCACTGTTGGCTGAAGAAGAAGCTGGTACAGAAGCAGTAGTGGGCAATGAAGGCATCATTACAGTCTCTGCCATTGTACTTTCAGGCACAGTTGATCCTATGTCTGTGGGATATATTGTGGAAAGTTCAATTAGACTATGTATTGTTGTTTTTGGATTTTGTGTAGACGACACCTCTAGGATTGTTGTGAGAGGTGTTTGGGTAGAGCTTTCTGATTCTACACTTGTTTTTGTCAATGTCTCAACAGTAGTATCTGTTCCTATTGTCTGGTCTTGTGTTTGAAATGTTGAAACTGACAAAGTGTCGCCACTACTGGTTGAAGTAGGAGGTGTTGCAGATGGAGTGTTGGGCAATGATTGAATTGATGTAGTTACTGCTGTGGTAATTTCAGGCATAGATGATGTTGAAATTTCAGATGTGGAAAACTGCAGAGTAGTTGATCCCTCCTCTGTTGGAAATGCAGTGGACCCTGTGCTTGGAATTGATGATGTGGTATCTGGCATAGGAGTGGACAACACTTCTGTGAAGGTGCTGAGTGTGGATTGAGTGGAGCTTTCTGATGAAATACTATTAGTTGTCAATGTAGTAAGTTGAATAACTGTTTCTGTCGTGAAACCTTGTGTTCTGGAATTTGACAATGACACAGACTCACCACTGTTGGCTGAAGAAGAAGCTGTTCCAGAAGCAGTAGTGGGCAATGAAGGCATCAGTGCAGTCTCTGCTGTGGTACTTTCAGGCATAATTGATCCTAGGTCTGTGGGATGTATTGTGGAAAGTTCACTTGGACTAAGTATTGTTGTTTTTGGATTTTGTGTAGACGACACCTCTAGGGTGTTTATGAGAGGTGTTTGGGTAGAGCTTTCTGATTCTACACTTGTTTTTGTTGACATATCAAAAGTAATATCTGTTCCTATTGTCAGGTCTTGTGTTTGCGATGTTGAAACTGACAAAGTGCTGCCACTAGTGGTTGAAGTAGGAGTTGTTGCAGATGGAGTGTCAGGCAATGAATGAATTGATGTAGTTACTGCTGTTGTAGTTTCAGGGAAAGATGATATTGAAATTTCAGGTGTGGAAAACTGCTGAGTAGTTGATCCCTCCTCTGTCTGGAGATGCATGTGAAAGCGTGCTTGGAGTCGATGTGGTATCTGGAGTAGGAGTTGACAACACTTCTGTCAAGGTGCTGAGTGTGGATTGAGTGGAGCTGTCTGATCCTATGCTATTAGTTGTCAATGTAGCAAACTGCATAACTGGTCCTGTTGCGACATCTTGTGTTGCGGAAGTTGACACTGACACAGACTCACCACTGTTGGCTGAAGAAGAAGCTGTTCCAGAAGCAGTAGTGGGCAATGAAGGCATCATTACAGTCTCTGCCATTGTACTTTCAGGCACAGTTGATCCTATGTCTGTGGGATATATTGTGGAAAGTTCAATTAGACTATGTATTGTTGTTTTTGGATTTTGTGTAGACGACACCTCTAGGATTGTTGTGAGAGGCGTTTGGGTAGAGCTTTCTGATTTTACACTTGTTTTTGTCAATGTCAACAGTAGTATCTGTTCCTATTGTCTGGTCTTGTGTTTGAAATGTTGAAACTGACAAAGTCTCGCCACTACTGGTTGAAGTAGGAGTTGTTGCAGATGGAGTGTTGGGCAATGAATGAATTGATGTAGTTACTGCTGTGGTAGTTTCAGGCATAGATGATGTTGAAATTTCAGATGTGGAAGATTGCTGAGTTGTTGACCCCTCCTCTGTCGGTAATGCAGTGGAACCTGTGCTTGGAATTGATGATGGGGTATCTGGCATAGGAGTGGACAACACTTCTGTGAAGGTGCTGAGTTTGGATTGAGTGGAGCTTTCTGATGAAATACTATTAGTTGTCAATGTAGTAAGTTGAATAACTGTTTCTGTCATGAAACCTTGTGTTCTGGAATTTGACAATGACACAGACTCACCACTGTTGGCTGAAGAAGAAGCTGTTCCAGAAGCAGTAGTGGGCAATGAAGACATCAATTACAGTCTCTGCCATTGTACTTTCAGGCACAGTTGATCCTATGTCTGTGGGATGTATTGTGGAAAGTTCAATTAGACTATGTATTGTTGTTTTTGGATTTTGTGTAGAGAACACCTCTAGGATTGTTGTGAGAGGCGTTTGGGTAGAGCTTTCTGATTTTACACTTGTTTTTGTTGACATATCAACAGTAGTATCTGTTCCTATTGTCTGGTCTTGTGTTTGAAATGTTGAAACTGACAAAGTCTCGCCACTACTGGTTGAAGTAGGAGTTGTTGCAGATGGAGTGTTGGGCAATGAATGAATTGATGTAGTTACTGCTGTGGTAGTTTCAGGCATAGATAATGTTGAAATTTCAGATGTGGAAGACTGCTGAGTTGTTGATCCCTCCTCTGTCGGTAATGCAGTGGAACCTGTGCTTGGAATTGATGATGGGGTATCTGGCATAGGAGTGGACAACACTTCTGTGAAGGTGCTGAGTTTGGATTGAGTGGAGCTTTCTGATGAAATACTATTAGTTGTCAGTGTAGTAAGTTGAATAACTGTTTCTGTCGTGAAACCTTGTGTTCTGGAATTTGACAATGACACAGACTCACCACTGTTGGCTGAAGAAGAAGCTGTTCCAGAAGCAGTAGTGGGCAATGAAGGCATCATTACAGTCTCTGCCATTGTACTTTCAGGCACAGTTGATCCTATGTCTGTGGGATATATTGTGGAAAGTTCAATTAGACTATGTATTGTTGTTTTTGGATTTTGTGTAGACGACACCTCTAGGATTGTTGTGAGAGGTGTTTGGGTAGAGCTTTCTGATTTTACACTTGTTTTTGTCAACGTGTCAACAGTAGTATCTGTTCCTATTGTCTGGTCTTGTGTTTGAAATGTTGAAACTGACAAAGTGTCGCCACCACTGGTTGAAGTAGGAGGTGTTGCAGATGGAGTGTTGGGCAATGAATGAATTGATGTAGTTACTGCTGTGGTAGTTTCAGGCATAGATGATGTTGAAATTTCAGATGTGGAAGACTGCTGAGTTGTTGATCCCTCCTCTGTCAGAAATGCAGTGGAACCTGTGCTTGGAATTGATGTGGTATCTGGAGTAGGAGTGGACAACACTTCAGTCAAGGTGCTGAGTGTGGATTGAGTGGAGCTGTCTGATGCTATACTATTAGTTGTCAGTGTAGCAAACTGCATAACTGGTCCTGTTGCGACATCTTGTGTTCCGGAAGTTGACACTGACACAGACTCACCACTGTTGGCTGAAGAAGAAGCTGGTCCAGAAGCAGTAGTGGGCAATGAAGGCATCATTACAGTCTCTGCCATTGTACTTTCAGGCACAGTTGATCCTATGTCTGTGGGATATATTGTGGAAAGTTCAATTAGACTATGTATTGTTGTTTTTGGATTTTGTGTAGAGAACACCTCTAGGATTGTTGTGAGAGGCGTTTGGGTAGAGCTTTCTGATTTTACACTTGTTTTTGTTGACATATCAACAGTAGTATCTGTTCCTATTGTCTGGTCTTGTGTTTGAAATGTTGAAACTGACAAAGTCTCGCCACTACTGGTTGAAGTAGGAGTTGTTGCAGATGGAGTGTTGGGCAATGAATGAATTGATGTAGTTACTGCTGTGGTAGTTTCAGGCATAGATGATGTTGAAATTTCAGATGTGGAAGACTGCTGAGTTGTTGATCCCTCCTCTGTCAGAAATGCAGTGGAACCTGTGCTTGGAATTGATGTGGTATCTGGAGTAGGAGTGGACAACACTTCAGTCAAGGTGCTGAGTGTGGATTGAGTGGAGCTGTCTGATGCTATACTATTAGTTGTCAGTGTAGCAAACTGCATAACTGGTCCTGTTGCGACATCTTGTGTTCCGGAAGTTGACACTGACACAGACTCACCACTGTTGGCTGAAGAAGAAGCTGTTCCCGAAGCAGTAGTGGGCAATGAAGGCATCATTACAGTCTCTGCTCTGCTACTTTCACGTGTAGTCGATACAATGTCTTTGGGATGTATTGTGGAAAGTTCACTTAGAGTAACTATTGTCATTTTTGGATTTTGTGTAGACGGCACCTCTAGGATGGTTGTGAGAGGTGTTAGGGTAGAGCTTTCTGATTCTACACTTGTTTTTGTTGACATATCAAAAGTAGTATCTGTTCCTATTGTCAGGTCTTGTGTTTGCGATGGTGAAACTGACAAAGTGTCGCCACTACTGGTTGAAGTAGGAGTTGTTGCAGATGGAGTGTTGGGCAATGAATGAATTGATGTAGTTACTGCTGTGGTAGTTTCAGGCATAGATGATGTTGAAATTTCAGATGTGGAAGACTGCTGAGTAGTTGATCCCTCTTCTGTTGGAAATGCAGTGGAACCTGTGCTTAGAGTTGATGTGGTATCTGGCATAGGAGTTGACAACACTTCAGTCAAGGTGCTGAGTTTGGATTGAGTGGAGCTGTCTGATGCTATACTATTAGTTGTCAGTGTAGCAAACTGCATAACTGGTCCTGTTGCTACATCTTGTGTTCTGGAAGTTGACACTGACACAGACTCACCACTGTTGGCTGAAGAAGAAGCTGGTCCAGAAGCAGTAGTGGGCAATGAAGGCATCATTACAGTCTCTGCCATTGTACTTTCAGGCACAGTTGATCCTATGTCTGTGGGATATATTGTGGAAAGTTCAATTAGACTATGTACTGTTTTTTTTGGATTTTGTGTAGATGACACCTCTAGTATTGTTGTGAGAGGTGTTTGGGTAGAGCTTTCCGATTCTACACTTGTTTTTGTCAATGGCTCAACAGTAGTATCTGTTCCTATTGTCTGGTCTTGTGTTTGAAATGTTGAAACTGACAAAGTGTCGCCACCACTGGTTGAAGTAGGAGGTGTTGCAGATGGAGTGTTGGGCAATGAATGAATTGATGTAGTTACTGCTGTGGTAGTTTCAGGCATAGATGATGTTGAAATTTCAGATGTGGAAGACTGCTGAGTAGTTGATCCCTCTTCTGTTGGAAATGCAGTGGAACCTGTGCTTAGAGTTGATGTGGTATCTGGCATAGGAGTTGACAACACTTCAGTCAAGGTGCTGAGTTTGGATTGAGTGGAGCTGTCTGATGCTATACTATTAGTTGTCAGTGTAGCAAACTGCATAACTGGTCCTGTTGCTACATCTTGTGTTCTGGAAGTTGACACTGACACAGACTCACCACTGTTGGCTGAAGAAGAAGCTGGTACAGAAGCAGTAGTGGGCAATGAAGGCATCATTACAGTCTCTGCCATTGTACTTTCAGGCACAGTTGATCCTATGTCTGTGGGATATATTGTGGAAAGTTCAATTAGACTATGTACTGTTTTTTTTGGATTTTGTGTAGATGACACCTCTAGTATTGTTGTGAGAGGTGTTTGGGTAGAGCTTTCCGATTCTACACTTGTTTTTGTCAATGGCTCAACAGTAGTATCTGTTCCTATTGTCTGGTCTTGTGTTTGAAATGTTGAAACTGACAAAGTGTCGCCACTACTGGTTGAAGTAGGAGTTGTTGCAGATGGAGTGTTGGGCAATGAATGAATTAATGTAGTTACTGCTGTGTTAGTTTCAGGGATAGATGATATTGAAATTTCAGGTGTGGAAAACTGCTGAGTAGTTGATCCCTCCTCTGTCGGAGATGCATGTGAAAGCATGCTTGGGGTTGATGTGGTATCTGGAGTAGGAGTTGACAACACTTCTGTCAAGGTGCTGAGTGTGGATTGAGTGGAGCTGTCTGATCCTATGCTATTAGTTGTCAATGTAGCAAACTGCATAACTGGTCCTGTTGCGACATCTTGTGTTCCGGAAGTTGACACTGACACAGACTCACCACTGTTGGCTGAAGAAGAAGCTGTTCCAGAAGCAGTAGTGGGCAATGAAGGCATCATTACAGTCTCTGCCATTGTACTTTCAGGCACAGTTGATCCTATGTCTGTGGGATATATTGTGGAAAGTTCAATTAGACTATGTACTGTTTTTTTTGGATTTTGTGTAGATGACACCTCTAGTATTGTTGTGAGAGGTGTTTGGGTAGAGCTTTCCGATTCTACACTTGTTTTTGTCAATGGCTCAACAGTAGTATCTGTTCCTATTGTCTGGTCTTGTGTTTGAAATGTTGAAACTGACAAAGTGTCGCCACTACTGGTTGAAGTAGGCGGTGTTGCAGATGGAGTGTTGGGCAATGAATGAATTGATGTAGTTACTGCTGTGGTAGTTTCAGGCGTAGATGATGTTGAAATTTCAGATGTGGAAGACTGCTGAGTTGTTGATCCCTCCTCTGTCGGAAATGAAGTGGAAACTGTGCTTGGAATTGATGACGTGGTATCTGGCGTAGGAGTTGACAACACTTCTGTCAAGGTGCTGAGTGTGGATTGAGTGGAGCTGTCTGATCCTATGCTATTAGTTGTCAATGTAGCAAACTGCATAACTGGTCCTGTTGCGACATCTTGTGTTCCGGAAGTTGACACTGACACAGACTCACCACTGTTGGCTGAAGAAGAAGCTGTTCCAGAAGCAGTAGTGGGCAATGAAGGCATCAGTGCAGTCTCTGCTGTGGTACTTTCAGGCATAATTGATCCTAGGTCTGTGGGATGTATTGTGGAAAGTTCACTTGGACTAAGTATTGTTGTTTTTGGATTTTGTGTAGACGAAACCTCTAGGGTGTTTATGAGAGGTGTTTGGGTAGAGCTTTCTGATTCTACACTTGTTTTTGTTGACATATCAACAGTAATATCTGTTCCTATTGTCAGGTCTTGTGTTTGCGATGTTGAAACTGACAAAGTGCTGCCACTACTGGTTGAAGTAGGAGTTGTTGCAGATGGAGTGTTGGGCAATGAATGAATTAATGTAGTTACTGCTGTGTTAGTTTCAGGGATAGATGATATTGAAATTTCAGGTGTGGAAAACTGCTGAGTAGTTGATCCCTCCTCTGTTGGAGATGCATGTGAAAGCGTGCTTGGAGTCGATGTGGTATCTGGAGTAGGAGTTGACAACACTTCTGTCAAGGTGCTGAGTGTGGATTGAGTGGAGCTGTCTGATCCTATGCTATTAGTTGTCAATGTAGCAAACTGCATAACTGGTCCTGTTGCGACATCTTGTGTTCCGGAAGTTGACACTGACACAGACTCACCACTGTTGGCTGAAGAAGAAGCTGTTCCAGAAGCAGTAGTGGGCAATGAAGGCATCAGTGCAGTCTCTGCTGTGGTACTTTCAGGCATAATTGATCCTAGGTCTGTGGGATGTATTGTGGAAAGTTCACTTGGACTAAGTATTGTTGTTTTTGGATTTTGTGTAGACGAAACCTCTAGGGTGTTTATGAGAGGTGTTTGGGTAGAGCTTTCTGATTCTACACTTGTTTTTGTTGACATATCAAAAGTAATATCTGTTCCTATTGTCAGTTCTTGTGTTTGCGTTGTTGAAACTGACAAAGTGCTGCCACTAGTGGTTGAAGTAGGAGTTGTTGCAGATGGAGTGTCAGGCAATGAATGAATTGATGTAGTTACTGCTGTATTAGTTTCAGGGATAGATGATATTGAAATTTCAGGTGTGGAAAACTGCTGAGTAGTTGATCCCTCCTCTGTTGGAGATGCATGTGAAAGCGTGCTTGGAGTCGATGTGGTATCTGGAGTAGGAGTTGACAACACTTCTGTTAAGGTGCTGAGTGTGGATTGAGTGGAGCTGTCTGATCCTATGCTATTAGTTGTCAACGTAGTAAGTTGAATAACTGTTTCTGTCGTGAAACCTTGTGTTCTGGAATTTGACAATGACACAGACTCACCACTGTTGGCTGAAGAAGAAGCTGGTACAGAAGCAGTAGTGGGCAATGAAGGCATCATTACAGTCTCTGCCATTGTACTTTCAGGCACACTTGATCTTATGTCTGTGGGATATATTGTGGGAAGATCACTTAGAGTAACTATTGTCGTTTTTGGATTTTGTGTAGACAACACCTCTAGGATGGTTGTGAGAGGTGTTTGGGTAGACCTTTCCGATTCTACACTTGTTTTTGTCAACATATCAACAGTAGTATCTGTTCCTATTGTCAGGTCTTGTGTTTGAAATGTTGAAACTGACAAAGTGTCACCACTACTGGTTGAAGTAGGAGGTGTTGCAGATGGAGTGTTGGGCAATGATTGAATTGATGTAGTTACTGCTGTGGTAGTTTCAGGCATAGATGATGTTGAAATTTCAGATGTGGAAGACTGCTGAGTAGTTGATCCCTCTTCTGTTGGAAATGCAGTGGAACCCTGTGCTTGGAATTGATGATGTGGTATCTGGCAGTAGGAGTTGACAACACTTCTGTCAAGGTGCTGAGTGTGGATTGAGTGGAGCTGTCTGATGAAATACTATTAGTTGTCAATGTAGTAATGAATAACTGTTTCTGTCGTGAAACCTTGTGTTCTGGAAGTTTGACAATGACACAGACTCACCACTGTTGGCTGAAGAAGAAGCTGTTCCAGAAGCAGTAGTGGGCAATGAAGGCATCAGTGCAGTCTCTGCTGTGGTACTTTCAGGCATAATTGATCCTAGGTCTGTGGGATGTATTGTGGAAAGTTCACTTGGACTAAGTATTGTTGTTTTTGGATTTTGTGTAGACGACACCTCTAGAATGGTTGTGAGAAGTGTTTGGGTAGAGCTTTCTGATTCTACACTTGTTTTTGTTGACATATCAACAGTAATATCTGTTCCTATTGTCAGGTCTTGTGTTTGCGATGTTGAAACTGACAAAGTGCTGCCACTACTGGTTGAAGTAGGAGTTGTTGCAGATGGAGTGCTGGGCAATGAATGAATTGATGTAGTTACTGCGGTGGTAATTTCAGGGATAGATGATATTGAAATTTCAGGTATGGAAAGCTGCTGAGTAGTTGATCCCTCCTCTGTCGGAGATGCATGTGAAAGTGTGCTTGAAGTTGATGTGGTATCTGGAGTAGGAGTTGACAACACTTCTGTCAAGGTGCTGAGTGTGGATTGAGTGGAGCTGTCTGATCCTATGCTATTAGTTGTCAACGTAGTAAGTTGAATAACTGTTTCTGTCGTGAAACCTTGTGTTCTGGAATTTGACAATGACACAGACTCACCACTGTTGGCTGAAGAAGAAGCTGTTCCAGAAGCAGTAGTGGGCAATGAAGACATCAGTGCAGTCTCTGCTGTGGTACTTTCAGGTCTAATTGATCCTAGGTCTGTGGGATATATTGTGGAAAGTTCACTTGGACTAAGTATTGTTGTTTTTGGATTTTCTGTAGATGACACCTCTAGGGTGTTTGTGAGAGGTGTTTGGGTAGAGCTTTCTGATTCTACACTTGTTTTTGTTGACATATCAAAAGTAATATCTGTTCCTATTGTCAGGTCTTGTGTTTGCGATGTTGAAACTGACAAAGTGCTGCCACTACTGGTTGAAGTAGGAGTTGTTGCAGATGGAGTGCTGGGCAATGAATGAATTGATGTAGTTACTGCGGTGGTAATTTCAGGGATAGATGATATTGAAATTTCAGGTATGGAAAGCTGCTGAGTAGTTGATCCCTCCTCTGTCGGAGATGCATGTGAAAGCGTGCTTGGAGTCGATGTGGTATCTGGAGTAGGAGTTGACAACACTTCTGTCAAGGTGCTGAGTGTGGATTGAGTGGAGCTGTCTGATCCTATGCTATTAGTTGTCAATGTAGCAAACTGCATAACTGGTCCTGTTGCGACATCTTGTGTTCCGGAAGTTGACACTGACACAGACTCACCACTGTTGGCTGAAGAAGAAGCTGGTACAGAAGCAGTAGTGGGCAATGAAGGCATCATTACAGTCTCTGCCATTGTACTTTCAGGCAGAGTAAATCCTATGTCTGTGGGATATATTGTGGAAAGTTCAATTAGACTATGTATTGTTGTTTTTGGATTTTGTGTAGATGACACCTCTATGATGGTTGTGAGAGGTGTTTGGGTAGAGCTTTCTGATTCTACACTTGTTTTTGTCAATGTCTCAACAGTAGTATCTGTTCCTATTGTCAGGTCTTGTGTTTGAAATGTTGAAACTGACAAAGTGTCGCCACTACTGGTTGAAGTAGGAGGTGTTGCAGATGGAGTGTTGGGCAATGATTGAATTGATGTAGTTACTGCTGTGGTAATTTCAGGCATAGATGATGTTGAAATTTCAGATGTGGAAAACTGCAGAGTAGTTGATCCCTCCTCTGTTGGAAATGCAGTGGAACCTGTGCTTGGAATTGATGATGTGGTATCTGGCATAGGAGTGGACAACACTTCTGTCAAGGTGCTGAGTGTGGATTGAGTGGAGCTGTCTGATGCTATACTATTAGTTGTCAATGTAGCAAACTGCATAACTGTGTCCTGTTGTGAAATCTTGTGTTCTGGAATTTGACACTGACACAGACTCACCACTGTTGGCTGAAGAAGAAGCTGGTACAGAAGCAGTAGTGGGCAATGAAGACATCAGTGCAGTCTCTGCCATTGTACTTTCAGGCATAGTTGATCCTATGTCTGTGGGAGGTATTGTGGAAACATCACTTACAGTAACTATTGTCGTTTTTGGATTTTGTGTAGACGACACCTCTAGTGTGTTTGTGAGAGGTGCTTGGGTAGAGCTTTCAGATTCGACACTTGTTTTTGTTGACATATCAACAGTAATATCTGTTCCTATTGTCAGGTCTTGTGTTTGCGATGTTGAAACTGACAAAGTGCTGCCACTACTGGTTGAAGTAGGAGTTGTTGCAGATGGAGTGTTGGGCAATAAATGAACTGATGTAGTTACTGCTCTGGTAGTTTCAGGCATAGATGATGTTGAAATTTCAGATGTGGAAGACTGCTGAGTAGTTGATCCCTCCTCTGTCGGAGATGCATGTGAAAGCGTGCTTGGAGTTGATGTGGTATCTGGAGTAGGAGTTGACAACACTTCTGTCAAGGTGCTGAGCGTAGATTGAGTGGAGCT